ATTATATAGGTGTGTGTTATGTGTGCCTGATTTCGTTGAATGCATCTATACATAAAGGATAGGATGTTTGATCAGTGGAAAAGAAGGAACCTGTATATGGAACCCCACTGTCATATCTCCCACACATGTGTTAACTGTGCTCTGGTGTTATTGTTTCTGTCCAGGGAAGAAAGAGAGGGACAGAAAAAGAAAGAAAGAGAGGGAGAGGAAGAAAGAGAACCCAGGATGAGGTTCTTTCTCTGGGCAGACATTTCATGTCCCTTGCAGTGCAGTAAATCCCTTATTGCGGCCCGAAAGATGCTTATTTAGTTGCATCAATGTAAAATTTCGGGGGTGGGGGCAAAAAGGGGGGAAGAAGTTCCTAGTCAGCCATTTTGGGGCCCTCATGCGGAACATGGTGATGTGCTCTTCACACTTTGGAGTGTTGTGTCCATGCGCTTGTTCATGTGTGGGAGAAAATGCTATGCATGTGGAGCCATCCAGCAGCACGCTGTAAGTATTGCTGTCATTTGCACGCTTGTCTTATTCATTGATTACAAATTTTTTTTCATTTTTCATCCTTTTATACTCATCCCTTCCAACCCTGATTTTTTCCAAGTCACTGCAGAGCAGTGTTCCCCAACCTGTTTGGGCCCAAGGTCTGACAAAGTTTAGAAATAAATTCTGCAGACCTTCAAAGTGTAAGAAAACTTTTGCAGACTCAGAAAAGTTTTTTTGTAAGACTTTATGGAAGGTATGTGAAAAATTTCTTCATTTTTTCAAATGGAAGAATCAATGACGCAGTTTTAGTCCAATTGTCTTCAAAAAAATCAGAAATGTGGGCTTCAAGAAATAAAAAATTGAAGTTTTCCCAGAATGAAAGATTAAAATAATATACTTCAGCAATTGGAAATTTGTCTAAAGTTTTACTCAGCAATAAGCTGATGCATATTTTTAATCAGATAACTTCAACTGTCATTGTATTTCCATAATTTAAGATAAAGATAACAGACTGTATTGCTACTTTTGATAAACTTATTGTCCCAAAGAAATTTTCCTGCTGACTGACAAAAACTTCTTTGGACCATGGGTTTGGGAACACTGCCCTAGAAATATTTTCTCTCAATCAACAACAATGAAAAACTCTCTGGAACACTACTCCAATCATTCAAAAAAAAGAGAAATTCAAGTTTCTGTTCCATGCTATTGGCAGACAGGTGCATCTACTATAATAAAGTTACTTGCCGTCCTTGGTTCGCACTTTTTTTAATTTTCACAGGCCCTCCCTTCCTTCCAGCGCCTTACCTCCCTCCCACAGAGCCCCAGAGAGGCCTGCAGGAGGGTCCCGTTTCCCGGCGATTTAACTTTTAAAAATTGTTACAAATTCAATTTTTGATAAAATGCACTTTTTAAAACTTTAAAAGAAGCGCCAAGTGCTCTTCACACTTTGGAGTGTTGTGTCCATGCGCTTGTTCATGTGTGGGAGAAAATGCTATGCATGTGGAGCCATCCAGCAGCACGCTGTAAGTATTGCTGTCATTTGCACGCTTGTCTTATTCATTTATTACAAATTTTTTTTCATTTTACATCCTTTTATACTCATCCCTTCCTACCCTGATTTTTTCCAAGTCACTGTGAGCAGTGTTCCCCAACCTGTCTGGTCCCAAGGTCTGACAAAGTTTAGAAATAAATTCTGCAGACCTTCGAAGTGTAAGAAAACTTTTGCAGACTCAGAAAAGTTTTTTTTGTAAGACTTTATGGAAGGTATGTGAAAAATTTCTTCATTTTTTCAAATGGAAGAATCAATGACGCAGTTTTAGTGCAATTGTCTTCAAAAAAATCAGAAATGTGGGCTTGAAGAATGAAAAAATTGAAGTTTTCTCAGAATGAAAAATTAAAATAATATACTTCAGCAATTGAAAAATTTGTCTGAAAAGTTACTCACCGAAAAGTTGATAAATATTTTAATCAGATAACTTCAACTGTCATTGTCTTTCCATAATTTAAGATTAAGATAACAGACTGCATTGCTACTTTTGATAAACTTATTGTACCAAAGAAATTTTCCTGTTGACTGACAAAAACTTCTTTGGACCATGGGTTTGGGAACACTGCCCTAGAAATATTTTCTCTCAATCAACAACAATGAAAAACTCTCTGGAACACTACTCCAATCATTCAATACAAGAGAAATTCAAGTTTCTGTTCCATGCTATTGGCAGACAGGTGCATCTTTCTTATAAGGTATTGGTCCCCCATCCTTAGAACGCATTGCAAGATTTTCACTAGATTTTGCGATAAATACATGAAGGGATTCTACAAACAAGACTGGGTACAAAATAAAAATCATCCATTCAGCAAGATGAGTTTTTATCATGAAAATATTTCAGCATGAAAAACATGATTTGATTTTGCATTGGTTGCAATTGCAAAATATGCAAGGCATCCCTGAAATTCATAGAAATCCTTGCAAAACCTGCTGGTAACAAGTCTGCATAATTCTAGCGCAGTAATTCCACAGCTTATTTACAAGAAATTTCAGACATAAAATTGAAGAGATGCTTGCAATTTTGAGCTCTTAACTTTCTGAAATTCACAAGCTTATGCGCCAGAAAAAAAAAGCAACACTTTAGATTTTCATGCACAATTTTTGCCTTAAATCTAAAGTAAATTGAACTTGCCGAAATTTTTAAATTTTTCATTTGTGAACTTTTCGATTGTTTTACTGTATCTGCTTTTTGTAAATCAGGGACCTACTGAAGTAAATTTAAAATATACCTCTGTTTGTGTAGACCTTTCTTTGACTATTTACACTAAAGAAGGATTTACATAATTCATATATCCATCTTATCCTGACATATTGCATATTATTTTTATGCAGGATACACAAGAATAAGAGTGTTGTGTTGACCTATGATGACCAAAGCAGGTCAAGTGAGTCACAAAGAGATATATGACTCTCTTTCTCCCTTGGGACGTGTTGCTTTGTTATTCAGGGAGGATGTATATTTTTCTCTTATGTATATAACTGTATCATCCAAATTTGGATGATGGTGTTGTGGACCCTTTGGATTCTTGCTTATAGTTACATAGCATGAGGCTTTAAGTTGGAATGTTGGTGTATCAGAAAGCTTTTGATGTACATCTGTGCGCATTGTGATTAGGCTGATATTTACAATACTGATGAGTATTTTTATTGTTGAGGCTTATGGCAATAAAACAGTTTCATTTCAAACCATGTGCAGTGAATGGATGAATAAGCTTTGGTAGATATTTCAGCATATATATGTTGATTACCATTGATGAATTTTCTCGCATTGTGGTCTGAGACTTTGAATAATACTGAGTATACTTTCCTACTATACATGTACAGCATTTGTATCAAGTGTCATATACAATAGAAACTCATTTTAAGGAATTAACTCCTACAAAGAATTCGTTTTTAAAGTCAACAGTGGCTTTCTTTTTTAAATTTCTACATAAAATATCCTTGTTATAAGAAAACTTTTATCCTGGTCTCAATGGTTTTGTTTCAACAAGAATGATTGCACTTTAGAGAATATAAATTGAGCATCAACTTTGTGATTTTCATGAAAACTATTCTCTGAGTGAACCAAGATAAATTCTGCAGGTGGAAAATGAGGGAAGAGTTTCCAGCACTGTCACCTGCATGGATGAGAGACCCACAAAAAGGGGCTTGATCCATGTTTTCCAGAAATTTCTCTTTTGGGCACAAAAGGATTCCCTCAACAGAAAAAAAGGTCTAGGTAATAATATACTTCAGAGTTCTGCTTATAATTAAACTACTCCTGTCTTGTAAAATGTTGCTAATGCTTGCTGGAAGGCATGGCTGTTGGACTCAGTGTTGCTTCTCATGCAGTATTATACAGTATATATGTACTTTATATATATCACTATAGTCTCTGCTGTTGAGCATTTTTGATAGGGAATAAAACTAGTGACTTGACTATAATGCTTCTGTGTAGGACTTTTTCCATAACTCTAGTTTGTAAATTGAAGTTTGCGTGAAGACATTTGAGAATGAGCATAAAGGGGAGGAACATGCTGTTCACTTTAATTGTTCATTCAATGAAGCTTGACTTCTTGAAATATATAGATTTTTTCCACAAAAAAATGTGAATTATTTCAACCCAAAATATACCTGCAAAAAGTATGTCTCAAACATATTATTTGAAAGTAATTTTCTGTCAACTCCCGCACAACAGACCCCCTTTGGAGGTGGTTTTCCCTCCTGCACCAAGGACTAAATCTGCATAACAGACTTCTGTTGGTTTAAAATTACAGTCAACCCCCGTCCAACGGACTTGATTTGTGCAATGGGCGAGTCTGTTAGACAAAAAGTCCTTTACATGAATTCAATTACATAAAAAATTAAAAATTTCAATTTTCAACACTAATTTTAAACTAAAAGAAGTCTGTTGGGCAGGAGGAAAACTGCTTGCAGAGCTTGTCTGTTCGGCAAAAATCCCTTACAAGGGAGGTCTGTACCAAAAGAAGTCTGTTGGGCAGGAGGAAAACTGCTTGCAGAGCTGGTCTGTTCGGCAAAAATCCCTTACACGGGAGGTCTGTTAGGCGGGGGGCCACTGGTAAAAAGTTTTAAAATGTAATTTTTGAATGTAATTGAATTTTCATTAAAGACATTTCACACATATGAATTGAGTCTGTTCTGTGGGGTTGGCTGAACTCAACCCAATGGGCTTAATGCTTGCCCATTGCGTTGAGGTTTAAAGGATAGATGGTATGTGGGGATGTCGGGGGGTGTCGAACACAAACTATATACTTGCTGTTTGGGATTGTAAACACTCTGTATATATATACAGTATATATACATGTTATTGAATAAAGAGATAAGACGAACAAAAAAAAGAAAAAGAAAATTAGAGGGGGTGTCATGGTCTCCTCCGGGGGTGGGTTATATGGTCGTTATTGGCAGGCATCAGGCAGGGCAAAGCTGAGATCTTTAGGGTGCTGGGCTCGGCGTGCCTCAGCCCCGACATGTGATGGGTGTTTTACTGTCGAGCTTATCATCCATTCGTCCGCACCTGGATGCACCTTTCTGCCGTAGCCTGCATCACTCCAGACGGTGAGTCGCATGTCTGCACCATCACCGCCAAAACACACCCACACCGACACACACACACACACACACATGCACACCAGCAGGTGTATACCAAATACCAATCACCAACACCGCCACCATAACCCTCATTGCCATCTTCACTCAAGTACTTTAATGTACTACATCATGCACCTTTTTCTCTCAAAAAAATTGAGGGGAAAAAGCTGGGTACATATTATTGTGCCATAACACAAAGAAATGGAAATTTTAAAATATAGATCCCATTGTATTATGTGGGTATATATACGGTTTTTGAAAACAAATTTAGAACTGTAGGTGTGCATTATGCAGTGAAATCTCATTACAATAAAAAGCTTTTATAGGGAATTCAAAGAATTTGCTGTAAAGAATAATTGATTATGACAAAATTTTAAAAATTGATAACTGCAAACAGATTTCACATCAGGCCTGTTTATACAGTAAATGGTGAGATTTTGTTCATCTGGCATTGTCAAGTTTTTCACTTTTATTAGAAAAACTGATGGATTTTCTTCAAATACAGTCAACCGCAGCACAACAGACCATCTGCACAATGGATTTTTGCACACCATCCATCCTCTGCTGGAGGCAGTTTTCCCTCCTGCACAATGGACTAAATCTGCATAACAGACTTCTGTTGGGTTGAAAGCAATGGTACAAGGCAAACATTTTAATTTTTTAATACAGTTGAACCCCCCTAAGACAAATACCTCCCTGAGTCAAATTTTTTAAAGTCCCCCTTTGAATTACCTTAGATTCAATGCTTTGAAAGTCTTTCCTAACTCAAAGTCTTTTCCTCTTATGAAGCTCCATTATTCAAATTTTCTGAGGCCTTTTGATTGACGTCTTGATTTTCTTGAAAGGGGAAAGAGAAAAAAAATTAAAAAATAGGTTTATTTGATATGTTTTGAAATTAAGTAAATGACCAATCCTTGCATCCAAGTTCAGCATCCTATCAACTCATTTGAAAAGGCCCAAAATATCATCATTATTGAGTTTATGGGATTCTTTTATGTTTTTCATAACAAATATTCTTGGTTATATTATGAAAACATCTCTGTGACTCAAAACCTCCTGAATTCAACTTTTTTGGTGGTCTCTTGAAATTTGACTTGAAGAGGTTCACCTGTAATTGAATTCACATAACAGACTCTTCACACAACAGACTAGTCTTTTGCACAAATCAAGTCCATTGTGCGTGGGTTGACTGTATAGCTTCAATGATGCCTTCCCTCAGTTGCACCAGTCTTCTTCATTCGTGGAGGTCAATGTGAAAAAATATACAGGATTCCCAACTTATTAGGCCTTAATGCAAAAATCAGAGTTTTTGAGCTCAAGGCACATGTGCACAATATTTTGCAAATATATCCAAACTAAGCTGCAGAAGGGTTAGTAGGGAACCTCTCTTTTGATGAAAACAATTGATAATTAATTTAATCAAGCTTGATTTATGTTTAAATTCAAATTCCATTATTGTTGTTTTTTTAAATGTAGTATTGCAGTTTTAGAGACATGAAAAATGTTTGTCTTACTGATGGTGGATAAGGTTTTATAAAAACTCTAGGGTGAAAAATCTGAGCATGCGTCTTACTCAAGGGTGTTTGGTACTCATCAAATAAATATGACCTACTACATATACACAACACAATTGTAACAAGGATATATACTAATGCTATGACTTGATCTTTTTACATGATAATGACTCATGACATGACAGTCCATGAATCTGTCCCTGTATTTCCCACATACCTGTCATGTGTATGTCCAGTTGTCCACTATTGAATATGCATTCCATTCCTTTTCTTCCTTTTTTTTTTTTTTGGGACTGAACCCTTATTACTTCTGTGATTTTTTTCATGCTCCCCTAGTTCTTTTTGCCTCAACATGGACGTCTTGATTCTGAAATCTTCTTTTGACAGTACATAGGTGTCGCTGGCATTTTTCATGATTGGGAAAGTCCAAAAGTAATGTATTTCTTTCATGCATCAGCAGTGTTTGTTTCTTGATGCAGCGTGAATGTTTTGATTGTAATTTTTCTTTTTTTGAAGCGACTTGATGTCACCTGAATTTGTTTCCATACGTTCAAAATGTGGCCAAAGGTGGTCAGAACATGTCAACTGTCAAGGTCTCTATTGACGTATATGCAAATTATACTGTCTGAATTCCTTCATAATTAGGTTATAATCTCGAAGTCTGTCCGGATTCAGGAATTCTAGTTTAAGAGGTTTCCAGTGTAAGTACGTGGGGATGCAGGTGACATCTGTGAAACATTTCCGGCAGCAACATTCCGAATTAGGAAATAAATGTAAATTTGAATTGTGTTACGCTTTGCTCGGTTCGAAGTTCAAGGTATATTTAATAAGTTTTAGGAATAAAATCAGCTCTGTGAGAATAATTAGCGCTTTGATTATCTCAAGAATCGATCTTTCTTTTTTTATTTGCGATAATGAGATTTTTTTATTATTCCACGATTCTCTGTGGAAGTTCCAATCATTGCTTTTTATTTTTTCCATGCCCTTTGAATTTTGATGCGATTCAATTTTCTTCAAAAAGTATAATTTAAAGAAGGGTTTTTGAGTTTAGGGTTTTGATGTTTTGAGTGAGACTATAGGGATTATTCAGGTGAAATATCAAATCCATTCCATATAAAAGACGTTCGGGCGTTGAAGTGAAGAGAACTTAATTTTTGATTGATCTTTCACTGATTTTTACTTTATGGCCATGTGCTTCCATCTTCACTTTTACCTTCGTGAGTCGTGATCATTTTCTTCTTTATTTCGTCTTCGAATGTTCGTCATTTTTCTATTTGCTGCATCATGCGGAATGAAATCCGATTTTTTCAACCGAAATAAATTTCCGCATTTTTGAAGAGATTTGAATTTCTCTCTGTGAGAAAAAATGGTTCCGGAAAATGCGTTTCAAACCTTTCAAACACGAATCTTTGAAAGCGACTCATGATGATCATTATTTTTGCGAATCATTTCCGATCAGAATAATTATTTGGTACTTGTGAACAAGAGGTTGATTCGAAGTCTGGTTTGGCTTGACAGAAATCGGGAAGGGTTTTTATATTATATGAAAATTCTTATCGAAGTATTGAAGTTTTAGCAATGTAGTGTACAAATGACTCAAGTTGAAAGACATCGCAATGTATTTCTGCTGGGAATGGCATTGATGAGCTTCGTATAAAGGTGTTTATATACATGTCCTTAAATTTGACTATGTAATATCCAGAACTGAGATTGTAAGTTTTTTCTACTAAATTTGACATACGACAACCGTTTTCATAAATTCGAAAACCCACTTTGAATTTTTATATGACAAACCCATGCATCTAAATAAAACCTCAGCCGAAATTTCCTAAATCCTTATTCTTTAGTGAAAAAGTTTGATTGTCAACATTTTTTTTTTTACTCCGAGACTTCAAACCTTGTCTAAACATTCATTTTTCCCTGAATCATTGATTGTGTTGCTGTTTGACAAAAAAAATTCCAAACTGAACGGAAGCGAATCGTTTCCATCAAAGATAAATCCCTTGTTTATTGAAATAACTAGCAACACGTCCGTTGGTTACAACTTTAATTCGATAAAAAAATCCAGTTTTCAAGTCACTTCCTTGAAAAATTGAAATAAATATCCTCCTTTCTGCCGAGTATTCAGTTTATTAAAAAACCCTCAACAATTATTGTAGATAATTTTTTTTTCATTATGGTCGGTGTAAAATGGAACCAGAGGATGATTGAACAGAGTTTTTCAAGAATTTTTTCTTGATTTCCGTTGACGTTGTGAAGAAATTTTCCAAATGCAACATTTCTGAAGTTACAAAACTTTTTAAGTTCGTTTTATCAAGAGCCCTCATTCTGCCAAATTTTTCCGGTCGAAGCTTGATTAAAATACCGCGATTGAAAATTAATAATTGCCGAAATGCTTATGTTTTTTTGTGAATTTTTCTATGTCACCCTGATGACTTCAAAGATATTAAATTCCAGAAAATTCATGTATCATTCCATCAACAATAACTGCGGATAAATTGTGAGATCTATATATAATACATTTAAAAAAAAGAAAAAATATCCAGGATATTTTATTGGTTCTTTTGTCCCGCATTTCGGACTCGATGGGGAACTTCCGAATCGTCCTCATCCCGAAACTTACGTTTTTGTTCCCAAGGATTTGTTCTCGCATCCGGTTCATTTATTTTATTTTTCCTCCTTTCGTGTGGTTCCAGGTCGTTGCCGAAAGTGGGTCAGCCCCAAGGAGATGACAACAACTTTGCTCAGCACACCGGCATCCGACTCGACGCCCGCAAATTCGAACCCATCGTGCACGACCATCAGTTTTGCGAAAGAGCCGTCATCAACGTCAGTTTCATTCATTTCCGATTTTCAAATCAAGCAAAATTTTGACACCTCCGAATAACTTCTGTGATGTCTAGCAAAAAACTCCGCTGCAACGAATGTCGTGGCAGCGAATATTTTATGTATTTGTCCTGGCAACAATGTTTTTAAATTTTTGTTGTAAAGAAATAAATTAAATGGGTAATCTTGGAATATAGGAAATTTTTGCACTTATGATGCGTGAATCGGTCATAGCAAATGTTACTAATTGGCAAAATATGGGAAATCCCAACTTTGACTTGGAAGATCTTCAAGAAATAGAAATGGTAATTTTTTTTTGCAGAATAGTTTAGCATTGCAGTGAGTATTCGAAGTCTAATAAGAATTATTTACCTATTTCATTTAAGAATTCTGAAAGAAAATTAAGTTTGGAATGATTTTGCTCTATTTCAGGGAACATACAGTTTTTGAATAAAGTATCTTCTTATAAACATATTTTTTATTTTGTTCCATGCTTCAGTAGGGTTGGTATATATTTTTTTTAAATTGAAGAAAAAGGAGGTCTGAAATATTTCAGGATTGCATGTTACACATTGAAATTTCTGTATTTGTTCATCAAAATAAGGAAGTTGAAAATTCAGGTAATTCTCCACATACCTGTTGTGAAAATCTGTGGAAATAAATTACCTGTTTCCCACAAAATTGCACTCATCATATATGCTTAAAGAACAATGAATCACATCATAGCGAATTTTTCTTTACAAGTAATTTTTTCTCAGGTTTCTAAACGGGATTTTTTGCCGCGAAAAAAAAATTAATTTGAAATTTAGCCCCGGGCGCGGGGGTGAACCTGACTGTTACGAATTAAACGTGTATCATATGTTATACTGAACAAAACATAGATGAAGAGGAAGTGGAAATGGACTTTTTGAGTGTTGTTGAGCTAATTTTCGAATGGGTAATGTACTTCCCTTAGGTTAGTGGCCTTCGATTCGAAACCCAGCTGAGAACCTTGAACCAGTTCCCAGACACTTTGCTGGGTGATCCAGCAAGACGGATCAGGTGAGCTCTCAATTTTTAACTTTACTTATTGTCACTTGTATTATAAATAATCTTCCAATTGAATAAATTGTATAAAGGAAAGCCATAACTTTATCTACTGTATTTTCTTTCGATCAATAAATACACCAGTGTTTCCCAAAATGTGGTCCAACACCAGTCTGCAGGAAATTATTTGGTCCATGGGAAATTTTCCTCAGCATAAGAAATTTACCAAAAAAATCAATTATCTGCATCATAAATTTCAAAAAAGCCACAACAGTTTAAATTATCTGATGCAAAATAAAAATTGGCTTTTATACTGATAATGCATCAGACTTATTTTCACCAGCTGATATAAATTATTTTAATTTTTCATTCTGAGAAACCTGTTGTGAAACCAATTTTTTAATTTTAAAGCTGCTTCATCAGTTCTTGACATAATTTTTCAAAAAAGCAGAATATTTTCAAATGCCTGCCTTAAAGTTTTTAATAAGAAAACATTTTTGAGTCTGAATTTTTTTTTTGAAACTTTGCTGGTCAGCGGAATTTTTTATTTTATTTTATCAGCCCTCAAAGCATTTCATGAATATTTTTCCAGTCTGTGGGCCCAAAAAGGTTCGGGGACACTGATACTGAGTGTATGTGACCAAAGTGTTTCTAAAAATAGCATGAAAATGTTGTGTTAATTGCCAATAATAATGATGCAGGAAAACATGATTTTGAGGATATTTAATTTCATTGAACAGAATCTTTTCCTGATTTTTTTTTTATGAGTATATCATATTGTGAAGAAGGTTGAGTTTCTTCAAGTTCATTTTTCTCTCTCTCTCGTGTGGCGTCCGTATTATGAAGGTACTTTGATCCGTTGCGAAACGAGTACTTCTTTGACCGGAATCGGCCGAGTTTCGATGCCATTTTGTACTACTACCAGAGTGGAGGACGACTGCGGCGGCCGGTCAATGTTCCACTGGACGTGTTCGCAGAGGAAATCAAGTTCTACGAACTGGGCGAATGCGCCACTTCGAAATTCAGGTCAGGGCAGCTGAGAAAACTTTCATTTCTTTAAGAATTCATCTTTTTTTGCAAGCAGTCTTTATTTTTTTTTTTCATTTGTCGCGTAATATAGAAACTGAGGATATATATGTATAGTCTTGAAAAAGTTTTTGCAACTCTTTTGGAGTAAGATGAGGAGTTGATTTTTCAAACATTTCTTCTTCTTCTTGGTGGAAGACTTTTTTGCTCAGAAATTCTGACAATTAGTTTAATTTTTCAATTTTTACTTATTTTTATGGTTATTTACTGAATTTCGAATAAATGAGGAAGACTATACAAGGGTTGTCCCATTTCTGCTTGTCCTTGGGTATTTCCAGAATACTGTATTGGTATCAGTGTAAAAATAAAATTATTATTTTGCCAATGCAATTGTGAGGTTCTGCGAGTTTTTCAGATTTTTATAAAGATTTTTAGATTTACTGCATGATGATAAGTGAAAACTTTCCGGTTTTTGCAAGAGTTCTCCACCCATGTCACAAGATGTTGAAAATTTCCAGGCCAGACAAAATATTGAAAATTTCACATAGTTTTTATCATAATTTTCTGAAATTTTCAAACTCGTTCAATGATTATTTTTTTGCCACGAATGGAAACATAAGTGCCTTCCCCATTTTTAACACGTTTTTATTAACTTGCTTTCTTGTCCGTTTGTTTGTCCAGATCAAATTTTGCAACTCAAATTTGATTGTTGGGAAGAAGTGAAATACAAATTAAATAGATTCACACCACCTTTAAGGTTATTTTTTGCTTTTTGAAAACGTGGTTTTTAGATTAATTTTTTAATCTACTAAATTTTTTTTTTCATGTTTGTCTCCTTCTTCCTCTTCGTCCTCTTCTCATTGTTTTTCCAAGATGGAGATGATTATTATTATTATCATCATTATTTTAATTATAGTATTATTTTTTCTCACGCCTTGCATTTTTTGTTTATTACAGGGAAGACGAGGGGTTCATCAAGGAAGAAGAGAAGCCGCTGCCGGACAACCCGTTCCAGCGCAAGATCTGGCTGCTGTTTGAGTACCCCGAGAGTTCGCAGCACGCGCGGGTCGTGGCCATAGTCAGTGTGTTCGTGATCCTCTTGTCGATTGTGATATTTTGCCTGGAGACTCTGCCGGAATTCAAGCACTACAAGGTCTTCAACGACACGCTGCGCAACAAGACCCGGATCGAGGAGGACGAGGTGCCCGACGTGAAGGATCCCTTCTTCCTCACAGAGACTGTCTGCATTGTCTGGTTCAGGTACAGTACTGTACATCAGTGCTTGGAAAACCAACCACTGTTTGGCTTTTGCAGTCCTCTTCTATTTCTCTTTGTTATTCTTTTTGGGCTGTACGTGTGCTGCTGGTCTATATATGGTAGTGAGGATGAATGACTTGATGGCAGGAAAAACTAGCAGGCTTTTAATCCTTCAATCATCCAGCAGCAAAGTGCATAGGTAAAATGGCTGAAATTAGGGATCTTCAGATACACACGCCATTGTACAGTACCTGGTCAGCTGCTAGTTAATGTCCGCTCACCCTCCTTACTGGTCATCCTAGGATGTCCCCAGACCCCCCCTTATTATTCCTGCAACACATTGCACAAAGACACCGGAAAACGTGGAACTTAATTAAACGGATGAACTTTTGTGTAGTTAATTGATTAAGTTGTCAGGATGGCCGTGCAGTCTAAGGCGCTGCATTCAGGTCACAGTCTGGTTCTGCAGACGTGGGTTTGAATCCCACTTCTGCAATCTTTTTTTTTTTTCGTCCGCACTGCGGACGCTCTAATACTTGATTGGGCAAACCACGGTTGCGCACCTGTCAGCCGGCAAATGCTGGTTGGTCCAACTGTTAGCCAGGGCAGTCCTTGGCTTTGCCAATTTCCAGCCTGCCAAACTGCAGCCTGTTCACCCCATTGTTAGGGCACCTGTTATCAAGAATCACAACAAAACAACATAAAAAAAGTACAGGCAATCAGCCTTTTGAAGGCCAAGAACACATATTCAAGGGGTTTCCTTGAATATATGTTCCTATAGCTTTCAATCATTTATATTAACAGTTTCAGCAGAGTTGAATAGATTTAATTTCAAAGAATAAGCACAAACAATGCACAAAAAAGATTTGAGAAACACAATTTGATAACACACACACGTAACACAGATTTCACGTGTGTTTAGTAAACTTTTCTATTCTTCTATTAAAAGATTCTCAAGTCCTGTCTGACAGAGAATTTAAGTTTCATATCAAAATCGAAACTCCTCCTTTGGAAGTAACCAAAGGAGAGAACAAAATTCCTCAACAGCAGCCCAACAATCCAGTGACTAGAATCTTGTTGATTATAAAATCCTGGTTGCTGTGACTGTTTATATGACCTGCACATAGGTCACATGAATTATACTTTATTTACTCAAGTACCATGCAAACTTTTTCTCTCAAAATTGATAGGGAAAAAAGGGAGTGATGCGCATCATAGATGGGCATAAATTTTGAAAAATTTAGAAATCCAAGTGTGTATTATATTTCATTCTATAATTGAACTTTAGTTGAATTCAGAATCTCATTTGGTCTAAATAATACAAATTTGGACATTATTATTTATGAAAACTTAAAAGCCACTAAAAATGGGGTATGCATATCACTCAAAGATAAATGTTTATAAGAATTTTGACTGAAACCCCCTAGTGTTTGTCTTCCTAAAGGGCACATGGTACTCATTGAGTAAATCCAGTACATACAGTATTTATGAGCACTGAAAAAAATAAAACAGAAGAGAGACGTCTTGAAACTTTTATTTAATAAATAAATAAGCATTGTGTCTGCTGACTACAACAAATTATTTTTTTGACTAGCCAAGTTGGTTATAAGTTCATTATTTTGTTTTTATTTTGAGCTGAACATTTTGGCTGATAAAAGAAAGAATAAATTTCGCATTGGTTTTTTTTTTCATCATTCCTGGCATAGGATTACATATTTCTGATAAAAAGGATGTACTCTTCCTATGTGTTCCCACCTTTGCCAAAAACTACAGTTTTGTGTTGGTTATGCCATCAATAAGCTGTTAATTAATGTAAAGGTTCCTTGAACAACCCTCGATTGAATACTGATTTGTTTTGCTCATGATAATATAACATTTTATTTTGTATCACGTTAAATATAATTGCTGCCCAATGTATAGCATTTTTAGGCCTTTAGTTAAATACTGTAAGACTTATTCTGAGAAAACCTTCGCTTTTATACTTGGGCCGGTCTTTTGTTCATGCTATCGATTCCCATTGCTCGTAAAAAGATTCGCTTTTCCTCAGTATTTTCTGAGAGTCATTGCTGATTTTTTTTTTCTTTCGAAAAAGAAGAAGAGGAAAAACCTAGCTAATAAACGACGACCTCGGTCTCTAAAGGTAGCGATTGGCTATCTATGTTCTATACGGTGCTTAAGGTGGGGCTTTCTAAGCGTCAAAACGCTAGGAAGTATGATTTCTTTGTTCCTATATTCGTGATCCGAAAAAGAAATCGGATCCCGGAAGGATATTATTAAGATAGTACATTAAGTAAGTTATTGCTCAGCTTTTCCATCAAGTGATTACCTAGCCTTTTTCCTGACGTAAATGGTTGGAAAGTGTCACGTAAATCAGTAAACGAACCCAGTTACTCTTTGACAAGAAGTCCGTTGGGTATTAATATTACTCATACGGTTACCTCTGTTTATTTTTTAATTATCATCCTAAACAATAGTTTCAAATACTGTATTGCAGGTTGACTCTCTCTACACCAATCTTGTCTACAACAATATGTTCTGTATAACAGAATCTTTTTAGGTCCTCTTTCCATTTTATAGGGGTGCTCATCTATGACAAAATCTCATTACAATGTGTTGTCTTAACCAGCAAATAATTCAAAATTCCTAGAATCGTTGATCAGATGATTCTTTTTACGAATCTGAATATTACCAGCAATGACTATTGATGTTGAGGATTTGAATTGTTTTCAGCATATTTTTGAAGAATCAAGAAATACTTCAACAGAATTATACAAGTGAGTTTTATTCTGTTTCACAAAGCATAGAATCTGGAACAGAGCAACAACAATGTTTCACAACAAGTGTTTGGTCAGAGTAAGCCCCTCGTTGCATACCGGACACTCCTATATATATAGACAATCCCACTTTGAGGTCAACGCCAAGTGTAGGACCAATTTGGATCAGTGTCAGCATACTTAATTTCATGGCAACCAAGGAAAAAGGTGCACAGCATAGAAAGACTTTTAAATGAAGGAAGTAAAAGGTGCAGTTGCGCATTAGACCCACAATGAGGAACAGAATGTGAAGCAGACAAGGGAACAATACAAAGTGCTTTATATTGTAGTCATGATATTTATTGGACTACGGACAAATTATTTTGGTCACTCAAATTTGGTGGACTCAATGTACAAAGATTTTCTCTGGAAGACATGAGAGATTGAAAAAAGATTTCTGCTTCTGTACATCAATTTACTTTGTATGCCTTTTTTTTCATAGGGATATCTACACGCATACTAAAGAGTTTCTCCAGAATGACATTCTCTCTACAATGACTTTTTTCTTGTCTCCTGAATTTTGTTCCTGAGGGTAGACACGCCCATAATGCGACCAAAATATCATTGTAGAGAGAATTTCATTTTACAGAACCTTCATAATATGCGTAATGGAGACTCCTATGAAACTAAAATCTGCTGCAAAACAATTTTGTCTACAACCATTTTCTCTGTACTTGTACACAGATTTTTTCTGATCCACTGAATTTTGTTACGGATATAGACGTCGTTGGGACCAAAAAATTGTTATGCAGAGAAAATTGTTGTACACAAGAAAAAATCATTGTACAGCAGTTTTACCCAACCTTTTTGGGCTTGCAAACCAGCAAATTTCCAAAAATGTTTTTGCAGAATGAAATTTTTTTATGTCTGCAGACCGGCAATAAGTTTCATGAAATTATCACAGACTAAAAAGTTGTGTTTGAAAGACTTTATGGCAGTTATTTAAAAAGTTTCTGCTTTTTGCAATAATCGATTTAAGAATCAATCAAGCAGCTTAAGTGGAATGTCTTCAAAAAATTAGAAAAGGTGGCCTTGTTCTTTCCGAAGAGTCTTACTTTTTAATTTTATTAAGTAAAGTCGTCCACTTTAAAACGTACTGATTCGTACTCGTAAAACGTTCAAAATACTCGTCTTTTCGTTTGAAAATAAGAAGTAGTCTCTTTTTCCACTGCCAAGTTATTTCTGAAATTTCAGACAAAGATGACAGACGCAAGTGCTATTTTTTGAAAATGTATTAAGCTGAAGAAAATTTCCTGCAGACTGCCACAAAAAAAATAAAAAGTGACTTCCGCATACCAGCACCATTAGTCTGTGGACCACGGGTTGAGGAATGCTTTATTGTAGAGAATGTGTTTTTCTCTTGAACGATGTTCTCAGTGAATAGCCATGGTATTCAATCTTTTTTCTTTTTTTTCGCACACAAAAAAAAATTGCAGTTTTGAGTTGATGGTGCGACTGTTGGCGTGTCCAAACAAGTTCAACTTCTTCCGCGACGTGATGAACATCATCGACTTGATCGCCATTGTTCCCTACTTCATCACACTGGCCACGGTGGTGGCCGAGGTGGAGCGAGAGGAGCAGCTCAAGCAGCAGATGGTCGCGTCCGGGGCACCACCCGAAACTGGCCACCTGGAAGTCAAGGTACCATCATCATCATCATCATTGGCACGCGAAAGACTGTGTTAATATCTTCTATATGTACTCTACTATGTACAGAGTAAATTGGGGCTCTCGAGATGCTGACATGTCATAATTTAACATATATATTTATATGATCCAATATTAAGCACCCCTGCCGGCATTTATTCGAAATACAGACAAGTCTCTGTGAGTCAAATTTAAAGGGACCAACAAAAATAATTTGAAGAAGGATTTTCTGGACAATGTCTCAAGATAGGGACACTTTTCCATAATTACCCTCAAAAATTCAAGTTTTTTTTTAATTTTGAAATCTCTTGAATGATAAGCTATTTATTCTTTTCAAAAAATTAAAAATTATTTTCGTTATAAATTTGAGGTGGGAAAGTTTCCAGTAAGGCTAAGATGTATTTTTGTTGTTGTGGGAAAGATAGAAGAATTGCAGGAAATTGTAAATGGTGATATTCAAGCAGAGCCTTTGCATTGCCTAGCCACATATCCTCCAGTAACACGCAAACTTGATTATCTGGTCTGTAAATTTTAATAAACTCCTACTTGCATATCATTTAAACCCCATCTTTAATGACTAAAAGTGGCAAAGTTTTGAGAATAAAATGCATAAAAATGAAAATTTCGAATTGAAATGAACCCAAAGTGAATCAATTTTCCATTGCTTATTTCCTATAAGAAATAAATATCCTGAATATCCTGAGCACCTGAACTTTAAAATTTTTTGAAGTATTGCATGCCCACTCATGATGTGCACCTTCTTTTTCTACTTGATTTCGAAAAAATAAATTCCCATAGTCCTTGAGTAGATGCCCCAATTAATTAAAAACAGTTCTTGGACCTAATTGTCCCTGTCAGCTGCACGTTGGGTCATGTTTTCCATACTTCAATGCGAGCATATTCACTGAAGTCTCTCTGTGTCAAATTGATGAAAGTTCATCAAAATAAAGAACATATAGATACACACCCAGACTCATGGCTTTTCTTCGGCTGAGCTTACAGTTTATTTTTCTGTCATTTCAACTTCAGGATGTAAGATGAGTATAAGAATTGAGGTGATTTATTTCTTCCACTTTGTATATGTCCTTGACCTATTGGTTTGTAGGAAGATTTTTATTTGCAGGGACTCTGGGGTCAATTTTTTTTAGATTTTTAATTTCAGTAGTTTCAAACGGATTTAAGACTGGGTAAAATTATTTCCCCATCTCTGTTTGCTTTTTATCCTATTGGTTTTGTGTCAAGAGCATGAATTTATCAGATTCTAGCTCTTTTTGGACTGAGCTTGAAATATTTTTTAGATCTCATTTTAGTTTTAGTGTGTGAGCAGATGTTACACCAGACCAGAGGGAATTCATTTCTCCAACTCTGACTGTTCCTATACTGTATACAGGGTTGGTCAAAAAAAAAGGAACTTGAGGGGGAACTTGAATAAGGGAATGAAAAAAACACCAAATGAAATCTTTTTCAATTCTCTTTTGCTCAAGCAGCTAAGTGGAAAAGACACCTGACAACTTTTTTTGTAAAAGTTTTCTTTCAAATGGTTCTTGTGACCATTCTGCGGGACTCGGAACCATAAAACTACATACCATATGAAAGAAAATTGAACAAGCTTTCTATTGATGCTTTTTTCATTGCAGCAGCTCAATATTCTACCAATCAATTTCAAGTAAAAAAACTGGTTCACTTTTTTTTGGCCCACCCTGTATATTTGACCTTTCATAATAGATTTAAAGTGGGTTTTTTCTCTCTCCTCCTGAAATCAGGTGACGCCATTGGGAAGGGACGGTGCAGGAAACCAGGCCATGTCACTGGCAATTTTGAGGGTCATCAGGCTGGTGAGAGTGTTTCGAATCTTCAAATTGTCCAGACACTCCAAGGGCCTTCAGATCCTCGGACGCACGCTCAAGGCTTCCATGCGAGAGCTCGGCTTGCTCATATTTTTCCTCTTTATAGGTCAGTTTTTCTCCTCATATATTCCTTCTGTCCTTCTTCCTTCTTTCCTTCCTCTCTGTCCTTATATATATATATATTTATATTTACAGGCCCTTGATGGAACAATAGGGGGATTTGTTGAGAATTGTTTGCTGGGGGTTGCTGCAGATTGCTTGGAATTCTCCATTTTCAGATATAAACCATAAAAGGTTAAATGTATAAAATACCAAGAAATAGTGTAGGTCTCATTCTGATTGTGAATACATCATTCTTATCATCATTATTATGAAAATCATCATGGCCTATACATACTCATTTTACCTCTTGCCAAGTTGTTGTGAAATTTAAACAGAAAAAGCCGAGTGTCAGGAAAACTCATTGTGATTTCATTATACATGTATTTTGTATAATCAAATTTGATTCGCCAAATTTTGTCTCTGACTTTGCCAGTGAAGAAAATAAATTGAGGGCTTGGCTTTCTTGGAATTCTTCAGTTTCAATATAAATTTAAAAAAAAAGTTTAAATATATTATAAAGAAAAAGAAAAATGTGTCATTCGAGTTTCAAATCTTAATACCATTATCATGTAATCCATTATGACCTACTCATTTAACTTTCCAAAAGTTGTTTTGAATTGTGAACAGAAAAAGCTGAGTGTCAGAAAACCTAATTTTATTTTCAATATTTTGTTTGAACAACTTTGATTTGCATCACTTCTATCTCTGAATTTGCCAGTGCAGAAAATGAATGAAGGGCCAGGGTATCTTTAAATTCTCCAATATCAAATTCAAGTCATAAAAGTTTAAATAGATTATACAAAGAGGGAAAGGGGCTCATTCTGATAATGAATATGTACTATTTTTTTATCATGATTAACCTAAAATCCTTTATTACTTTCTCATTTATCTGTTACAATGTTTTGAATTGTGAAACTGAAAAGCTCAATGTGAGAAAACACCCCATTTTACTTTTAATATATTTACTTGTAATGCTTTGAAAATATTTTGTTGCTGCAACTTTGATTTGCAACACTCTTTCTCTGACTTTGCCACTATGCAGAAAAGAAATCAAGGGCAAGGCTGAACCAATCTCTTGAGAATAAATTCAAGGCAGGCTAATGTGGTATCATACATGAATAAATATACATGTTATGGTGTATGTTGAGAAGGTCTGTGTTACTGTTGAAGAAAAAAGCATAGATAGAGAAGAAAATAAAAATTCCCAGATTTTTCTGAGCAGAAAATGCAAAAAAACACAATCTAATATGCCTGCTCCTGTTTTTGATGCCGGTGTTCCATCTGCATCTGGAAAGAAAAAAGCAGGGCGTTTTTTCTCTTCTGTTCCGTGAGTTTGAGTCATGAATACATTTGCATTCTGGAGAGCCATGAAAAGCGTCAGAAGACCTCGTTCCCGTTTTCCTTTCAAAATCCTGCGGGTTGCTTCAACCGGAAATTTTCTTTCCCTGAGGTTTCTTTTTTTTTTTTTAACTTTGTATGCTGGTGAAATTTAGAGCATGTTCTTTGTTGGCCATGGAGTCTTTCATTGTGGTGGTATGAGGAGAGTTTATGACAGGAGGCCCCAATTTATTTTAAAAGTTTGTGTCAGGTATCGAGCGATAATTTTATTTCTTTTTTTATAGCTGTTGTAAAGGTATAATTCTTGTGAAAAAAGAACGGAATTGCAGAATTTGATACTAAGGTCGGATTCAATCGAATGATTGAAATGCTGAACTGAAATTTTCAATTTTAAATTTCAGCCAAGTGGATTTGATTATGGCCAACTTGTCATGGAAAAAAAATGCCTAAAATGTAATTATTTATTTCATACCTTTCAGACCATTTAAATGTTTGATTCAATTTTCCTTTTTGGCTGCGATATTAGGCTAACTATTCTCTTCCCATGTTCCTTATCCAAATGTTTCCTTCAAATTATTTGTCAAGAAAAAAATTGATGCATACAAAAGTTCCAACTGATGGGTTTCAGGAAGGTTTTCAAATTCCGGATCCAACTGGTTTATTTCTATAATTTTTTCAAAAACAAATGATTCCTTGGGTGAAAAAGTAACCAGCATTATGCCTGCAAACTTTTTTCAAATATTTGCCAAAACAAAAATATAACATTTTTGGTGAAATTTTAATCCCAGTAAGTGAAAATTTAGGATAAAGCTGAGCCTCTGCAACAGTTGACTCAATTAAAATTGTCCCCCGCATTACTGGTGCTCACATGCAATAATTACCATATATCACAAAACAGCAAGGTTTACACCAAGAAGAATGGCTAGAGTTCCAGCCCTTTCTTTTTTTCTGTTGCCTGCTGCTGAAGATGCCCTGTTTTTCTTTTCTACAGCTGGAAAATTGCACAGAGAGAGTGAGGAAGGGAAAAAAGCTAAACTCTTGGGGGGGGAATGCAAGAAAAGTTGCACTTAAACTTCCTGGTGATGGTGACTATATTGCAAGAAAGAGGCAATGATGGCTTTCTTTCTGCCTGTGGTGTTTCTGATGGCTTCTTTGTTGCAGCAGGTCACTCTTCTCTCATCTCTTCTTCCTGCTCTTTCTTTTATTCATTTCTTTGTTGTCTCGCTACACATAAATATATATATATGTATATATACAGGGTGGACCAACAGAAAGGGAACCGATTTTTGACTTGAAATATCTTAGGAGCTCTTTTGTAACTCCTCAGCCCCACTTTCTAAATTTTGGGTATGTGTGAAGTAAAATGAAGTTTGCTGGGTAAATTACTGGTCCTGTACCCATATACATCCCTTTAAAATCAGCTCTGGATAAAGAAGCAACTCAGTAGAAAAAGTTGCCTGAGCCCTGGCAAGTTTTTCTTTGTGGAAAGTTGTCATCAAGGCAAAAGTTGCCTACCATTTGAATGAGAATTTAACAAGCTTATTCATTTGGTGTTTTTTTCATTGCTGCAGCTTAATTTGCTGATTCCAAAATCGGTTCACCTTTTTTTAGGCCCACCCAGTATATATACATATATAAATGTCTGCGTGTGTGAGTATATATATATGTTTGTCATGTGCTGGGTTTACATCTAAATACATGTATATTTATACCGATGTGCCCATTATATGATACGTGTGCTTGTGTGTGTGTCTGTGTGTGTGTGTGTGTGGATGGGTTATTCCGGGAACTTTCTGCAGGCGTAATTCTGTTCTCGAGCGCGGTTTACTTTGCCGAGGCCGGCACGGAGAAATCCTTTTTCAAGTCGATCCCAGACGCGTTCTGGTGGGCCGTGGTTACTATGACAACTGTCGGCTACGGCGACATGAGGTAAAAGAAAGGTTCTGGAAAGAGAGGATGCTGCACGCTGTCCGCCATTCCTGCCTGCTTGTCAGACATATCCGTATATACTGTGTGTATATATAAGTGTGCGTGTATGCTGTGAGTGGTGTGTTTTATATCTATATATGTTAGATGTGCTGCTGGTGATGTGGTGGGGGGGGGGACAGGAGGGGAGGGTGGTGGTGGTGATGATGATGATGGGTGTGTTGTACTTGTGCAGTACTAACTATACTGCAGTATATATACAGTCAACCCTCGATTTAGTGCCACCCCCTATAGCTGCAAGGTGTCATATAAATTCCCCTGGAACAAATCTCCCTCCATATTGTTGATCTGAAAGGAAACCTCAATTTATTGCCAACTCACTTATTAGTGCCACAAAAACTTTCCTGCCCTGGATGAAAAATAGGTTTTAAAAAATTAAATAGAGTAGGGCATATTTCCAGGGATATCATTCAGTGTCAATATACTGAGAATCACATAATCACATGCCCATTATTCCAAAGATACTTTCTACATTTACCTGTAATTGGGATGGATGGATGGCTTTACTTGGATGTCCTCCACAGCAAAAATAATCTCAATGAATATGGGCCAGTCTCTTGAGAAAAAAAACGCTCCAAGTGATCTTGGAATTTTGTGCTTTATATTGAAAGGTTGATATGAAACTGAAAAAAACAGCTCCACACCTTTACTTAATTGATCCAATATATGCCAAAACTGAATATATTCTGAACAATTGCATAAATTGAAATGCAGCAAAAGCAGTTCATTTAAGCCTCAAATAATTTCCTTTCTCTCTCATAAAGCAGTCTCAATGGCTGAACAATTCTGAAAACAAGTATATTTTACCTATAATAGAAGCCCCAGCAAAATTTACCTCACCCACATTTAGTGCCAAGAAACTGTGCCCGGACAAATGATGGCAATGAATTGGGGTTTGACTAACTGTATATGGGAGGACTCTTTCTGCAGCAAAATTCAAAGGCCCAGAAAGAAATTGAGTTGCATAGAGATTTTTGTTTTAAAACCATGATAATATGGGAAGAGAACCCTATAAAAAATTTCTTTTGGAGACCCAAATAAGATTCATTCCAAAGAGAGAACCATTGTAGATCACATTGTTCTAGAGAAAAGTCCACCTGTATGTGCTTGTTAAGACATGGTGTTTTCAAAATTTCTTGAACCACAAGAAATTGTGTATACCGTATTTACTTGAGTACCACGCGCACCTTTTTTCCCAAATTTCAGAAGAAAAAAAGGGGTGCGCGTCATAAGCAGGTACAACATTTTCAAGAAGTTTTAGGAAGTTATGTGTGCATTATACTTTAGAAGAAAAAAAGGGTGGACTTCATAAGCAGGTACAACATTTTCAAGAAGTTTTAGGAAGTTATGTGTGCATTATACTTGATTATAATGGAGAAATTTGCAACAAAAATAAGAAGAAAACATTTTGTGCTGAAAAAGTTCAAAATTGATCAGATTTTTGTTCAATTCATGCCTGGAGTCAAATTTTTTGTTTTTATTTTTGAAATTTTATGGCTTTAGATTCACTAAAAATTGGGGTGCGCGTCTTACTCAGGGATAAGATTTTAGCAAAATTTTCAACTGAAAAACCCCTGTGCGCGCCTTACTCAAGGGTGCGTGGTACTCAAGTAAATACGGTATTTAGAGAATTTAAGGGACTTGCTATAGCAAAAATTGCTATTCTGTAGTGAAAATTTTGCAATTTAAAGGACAAAAAATCCCATGGTTAACAAATGTATATTCAACTTCAAACCTATAATTACAGGGTATTCTCAAAAGTTTTCAGAAGGGTGAAGAAAATACCCTGTTATCATAGCTTTGAAATTAAGTATAAATGTGTTAACCTGGCGTTTTTTAGTCATTTATAATCATTCAATTGCAAAATGTTCACTCTATAATAGCATATTCTTCATCTTTCTGAGAACTTTTGAAAATACCCTCATACGAATGTACTGTTTGTATGTGTGTGTATATCATGGATGGCAAGTATAGGCATTCCTGCATGTCAACTGATCCACCTTAATGTGAAGAAACGCTCGTCGCTTCCGTGACCCAATTTCCTACCCGCGGAGGAAATAGCCTTTATATGTACATATATACACGTGTGTATTATATGCATAGATGTGTATATGTGTGTGTATGTTATTCACGTGGTGAGAAAATACGAGGATTTATGATGAGTATGATATCATAATCTCTTTACAGCCAGTTCAAATGCAGAGAATCTTGATATTTTTCTGGAAAAAGATTTCACTTTTGCGAAAAACAATATTTTATACCCAGCTCATCTTAGCTGCAAAAAATTAATGTCCTGTACATCAAAATGCAATTTTTAAAAACATTAAATAGTAAAAATGCCTATGAAATTTTTGTATCTTTCTATTTCCATGTGCAGAAAAAGCTTGCTTTGCTCTGTATTGAGATTTATACTTTGCTTTGAAGAAAAACTGCACTTAGAGAAATAAGAGTTGGAGAATGGGTATTAGAGTATTTGTGTGGAAGTTTCCTTGCAAATACTGTAGTATCTTATGTGTTTATACCCTGGCATAGAGCTTATCAAAGAGCCCTGACATTATGAGTCCAGCTGTGTATGCATTTAAAAAGAATAGCTTAATTCCACTGAGAAAACATTTCTGGATATTTCTCTGGTTCTTATGAAGGAAATTGAAAAATTAAGAAATTTTAAATGATATACTGATTATTGGCTTTCCAAAAATGGACTCATCACATTTTTTTTTTATTCCTATGATATTAAAAATTCACAATGTTGTGTTACTGTTATTGTTGAAAGAATGAATGGCTTCAATTGGGTGTCTTTGAATCAACAACCACTGGATTGAATGTTATTTTTTGAGACCATGTCTGCCTGTCATATCCTCTAATGTGCAGCATTCAATAATGATGATGATGAGAGGGACACTGTGAATGCTGATTGGTTTGAAAATGCCATGTTTGTTTGTTTCCTTTTTCTCTTGTTCTTTGTCCATGTTGCTTGCTGATGTGCCCAGGGGTCATACTATTCTCCAGTGCTGTGTTTTTTGCGGAGGCTGATTCAGAGATCTCTCACTTCAAGTCCATTCCTCATGGCTTTTGGTGGGCAGTGGTGACCATGACTACTGTTGGTTATGGTGACATGACGTATGATCCAATTTCCAAGTCCTTTGCTACAGTTTCTTTAAAAAAAACATTGAACAGTAAAATCTCTTTGCAACAAATCTTTTGGGAATTCAGGCAAAGTTTTTTATGTTGAATAATGTGTTATACTGAGATTTTCACAACTGGAAAAAATTTTCACATCAGACCTGCCTATAATCAATTTGGTTGGTCTTGTTTTTCTGCACATCACTATCAGATTTTTAATATTGTTTTGAAAACTGAGGGCTCTTCATCTGGAAAAAATGCAAAAGTGGTACCTTGAAATTTGAATGTCAAATTTGCTGGAAGGCTTACTTGAAATTCAAACTCTGCCCTGCAATTTGACCTGCAAAGAGATGAGATGCAAAACATCACATTGAATGTAGAAAACATTGCATTTGACATACATAATCTTGCAATGCTTCACAATTGGACTCTAGTCTACAGGTAATGGATTGGGATCAAATTGCAGGGTACCACTTGTTGCTTCAAAAGCACTGATCTCTCCATTCTGGGAAGATGATGTGACAATGTCTATGTTCATTCTATGAAGAAGATGTTTGAAACAAATGGAAACCTCTTCTTTATTGATTACAGTTTCCATCAATGCTACAAGAACTATAATCAGTCACATTTGGGGTCAAAAATTCAGAATTTGCCTGCCTTAGAAATCTTTAAAGAGAGAATCCATTGAACATTCCTTAAAAATGCTCAAGCTGGAATTGAGATGTTTGATATCAATTTATATAATGAGGTTGTTTTAACATGAAATCTAGGGGCTTTCTGCCAGGACTTGAGAAAAACTTTGTTATGCTGAAAATGTTGTTGTAACGGTATTTGTTGTGATCAGATTTTACTGTATTATATATTTTCGACTTTTTATTTCATCTCACTCATGTGGAATTGACAAGTTTACGAATTTTCCTGGTTCTGCTTTATATATATATATATACAAATTTTATAGGCTTTAAAATCATTTCCTCTTTCACTCCTCTCTGTCATAGCTCTTCACGTTTTGAGCGTTGTTTTCAGATCAGCTGGACATTGCAAAATTTATTCAATGGCTCTGAGGATCAAATGAAAGTCTGCATGTTCGCACAGGTGTGCATCATCAACCGCAACATCGATTTATATACATGTACAAGTGTATATAGATTCGTTGGAATGCATGTTATATTCCTCCTGGGTGCATGAATAATGCATGAAATCTTTGAATGTAGAATGGTGTAATTGGAGAGACGATATGGAAATATATGCTGGATGGCATGGATGAAAACGGGGATCCCTTTAATGTTCGTGTTGATCTTCACTACTGCATCGTCATAGTCGTCGTGTATTTTGCATGACAAGCATTTTGGAATTCCGAAATGATTCTGGATTTTTTTTTCTTCTTTCAATACTGTTGATTAAAATGGCTGTTGATTTTTTTGCAATCGCCGCTGACGTGATGAAGACCCGTGGGAGTCTGGGGCAAGATCGTCGGATCGTTATGTGCCATTGCTGGTGTCCTCACAATTGCTCTTCCGGTGCCCGTCATTGTCTCCAACTTCAACTATTTCTACCACCGGGAAACGGACCAGGAAGAAATGCAATCCCAGAACTTCAACCACGTGGGATCCTGTCCTTACCTGCCGGGAACTGTTGGTTAGTTCGATAACCCGTCGAAAAACGCCTCGGGGGGGGGGGGGGGGGGGACATGACGCATGAGGGTTGTGTTATTATAGCAGTTGGACGAAATCTCTGATTGTTTTAGAAGAGGTGTGATCGTGGAAAAAAAAATCATGACATAGCCCTTGATGTTTTAAGGTTCTGGGCTGTTTTGGGGATTTTTAAAGTAGTTTTTTTTTCAATTTATTTCATCATGATGAGTGAAAACTTTGCAGTGAACAGTCAGGGTTGTCAGGCCAAATGAAAAAAGGAAAATGTGTTTTTATTTTATTTCGCCCATAAAATTTTCTACATCCTTAATAATGGCTGAAACAAAAAATCTCTTTTTTACCTAGCCTGACAAATTTGAAACACCCTGTGACATGGGTTGGGTGGTGCTCATTGGCCGTAATTGAAAAGTTTTCCATTATTGTCATGCAGTAAATTGAAAAACTTTAATAAAAATCCCAAAAAAAACTTGAAAAACCTTATAACATCAAGGGCTATGTCATGATTTTTTTACATGTACAAATGCTCTATTGGGCACAAGCCTCAACATAATTTGATGTCCAGTGATATTGAGAATAAAAATACATTATTCAGTCTGGGACAGGACCAGGATTCTGTTTTGGAAATCCTAGTTTAAAGAGGGGTAAACGTATTTTGGGATAAAGTCAGAATAAGCAACAACTCACTTGAACTCAGCTTTAATAAATTGGAATAATGCAGTAACTGAATCAAATCTAATCTGACAGTATGAAGAAAGACCAGCGTATATACTATTAATTATATTTAACCATCACAAGGTTTTACTTTACACAATCATAGCAAGAAAGCTAGCATCAAGGATGCTGTCCTGGCACTGCAATTTTGAGGAGGGGATTACTACTGTTTCTGAGAACTAGGTATGCTATTTTACCTGGCATGCATGCCCAACATGCTCTTTAATATATCAGAGGTCGCGTGAAATTGGGACAACTTGTCATTTGCGGTATGAAGGGTACCATTTGATGTCATCAGCTCAGACTCCCCCAGGGCATTTTCTGAAATTCTGCTGTAATGTAGAATGAAACTTTATTAATTTTGTTTCTAGGGATTGATTGTGTTTCTTGACACTTCTTTGTGTGCCTTTCGGAAGCCTTTTGCAACAGGCCTTATTCATACAAAATATAAGAAATATATAGTGGTACCTCATGCAATGAACATAATTTGTCCAAACGCTATGTTTTGGTGCCATTTATTCTTTATACAAATCATTTTCATACAAAGAAAGTGTATATATGATTTTTAAGATGAAAAATTGGTTGTTTGCGCAAATTTTTTTGTGGTACAATGATTAAAAAACCACACACAAAATGTTGGCTCCAATAGAATGTTTTTAGTGTGAGGTGCTTGTACTGTACTGCAAATTTATACTCTGTATTCCTTTTAACAAAGTTGTAACTGATATTAAGATATTTTTTCAAACTTTTTGAACCCCCTTGGGATCTTGTGGAGATGAGAAAATGCTGATGAATGCTTAGATGACAAGGATACTGTACTACGTGCCAACCCCAAGGAAAATATTTTCAAAATTCATGCTTTCTCAATTTGCTATATTGAACCTAAATAAAAAATTGAAGAACAGTCATATTCTTCCCCCTATTCAATTTGTTAGCCAAAATTTTCTTCTGTGAGAGAAAAAAAAGATTGGACTTCTTCTCAACTTTTGACCTTGGCTGCAAAAACAAATTTCATTCCATTTGCTCATCATGGGGACAAAATTGTACACAAGTATCCCAACTTTGCTGCATAAGGGTTAAAGAGCCAGCAAAAGTACCTCACAAACAAATGATGGCTCATATCAAGACTTGATCACTTCTGTACTGTATATATTCTTTTATGTCTGGGTTTCACAGGGCAGCAGTGTAAAGATTCAATATCGGATTGTTCTTCGGACATGATGGAGCTGGAAGAAGGAGTGCTGTTGTCTCAAGTTGACCTGAGTCCTGTGAAAAAGTCCAACCACAATCCGTATTCAGGTGCTGCTGCTGGTGTGGGTCATCGCAGCACGGGACTCCCTGGTGCTCCCATGTTTGCTGTGGAGACTGATGTATGACGGCTGCGTAAGGGAACTTTTTATACATTATTGCATATATATATACTGTACATATATTTTACAGCATGTAATCTTTTTTGTAACATGAAATTGAGAACCAATGAAGCGGCTATATAGTGGAATGTGTTCAAAAAATTAGAATGGTGGGGCTTGAAGAGAGGTTTCTCAGAATGAAAAATTTCAATATTTTATTTCAGCGCGTTAAAATTTGTCTGAAGTGTTATCAGGAGAAAAGTCAACTTTTATTTGTCATTAGATAATTTCAACCACCATTGTCTTCCTAAAAATTTCTAATAAAGATAACAGACTTCATTTATACTTTTGATAAATGTGAACTTGTGGGGACCAGTGCTGGTCCAAGGACCACAGGTTGGGAAACAATGCTGTACATATCTGTATGGCAAATTTCAAATTGAAATTTTTCATAGCTTTAAAATCATCAGAAAGAGGCACAACATGCTGCCTCTTTATGTTATTTTTTGCTGCTTTGAAAGCTGTGCATTATGAAAAATTTTCAATTTGAAATTTGCCATACAGTTATGTACAGCAGTGTTTCCCAACCTGTGGTCCTTGGACCACCACTGGTCCCCAGAAGTTTAAATTTATCAGAAGTATAAATGAAGTTTGTTATCTTTGTTAGAAATTTTTAGAAAGATAATGGTGGTTGAAATTATCTGATAAAAAAAAGTTGGCTTTTCTCCTGATAACACTTCAGACAAATTTTAACGTGCTGAAATAAAATATTGAAATTTTGAATAGCTTTCAAATCAGCAAAAAGAGGCACAAAATGCTGCCTCTTTATTTTATTTTTTGCTACTTTTAAAGCTGTGCATTATGAAAAATTTTCTATTTGAAATTTGCCATACAGTTATGTACAGCAGTGTTTCCCAGCCTGTGGTCCTTGGACCAGCGCTGGTCCCCAGAAGTTTTTTTGCTGGTCCACAGGAAATTTTCTTCAGCATGATAAATTTATCAAAAGTATTAATGAAGTCTGTTATCTTTGTGAGAAATTTTTAGGAAGACAATGGTGGTTGAAATTATCTAATGAAAAATAAAAGTTGGTTTTTCTCCTGATAACACTTCAGACAAATTTTAACGCGCTGAAATAAAGTATTGAAATTGTTCATTCTGAGAAATCTCTCTGCAAGCCCTCCATTATAAGTTTTAAACACATTCCACTATATAGCTGCTTCATTGGTTCTCAACTTCATGCTACAAACAAGTAGGAACAAGTCATGCATGATCTTCCAAATCCTCTTCCATCTTCAGTGTAGAAAAAGTTTGCTACTTCCCTTGAGACACTTGCACTGTTCCTTGAAAAGCAATTTGTGAAACCAGAGGTTAAAGCCATTATAGGAGCAGCAGCACTAGAGAAGATTCAAGAGAGCATGGAACAGAGAGCTTTTTGTAGAAAAGTTTAAAATTTCCAGATAATTCAAAGTGCCAAACTTTTTATAACAAAAAGAGTATTTTTTCAGGGATCATTAAGAGTTGTGTAGACTTATCAAGGTTCAATAACTGTGTATTTTAATGTTACTGCTTATGTTTTTCTTACAGGAAAGAGGGCTTTATGCTGGAGGCATCGCGGAAGAAGATGCGAGCAGCAGTTGAGCAATAAAATGAAACAGGGCTTGCAAAATATTGGCAAGTGCCGCTTTTTGTGGAGCCTGGGGAAGTCTCAGCAATGCTCAAGGAGGGCGGAATCATCATCTCATTTTCTGCTTGTGATTCTGTTTGAGATGGATCATCGAGAACGAGGGTAATCTTGTTCGAATCATGCATTTTTGCCCAGCAAAAAAAAAAAAAGGAAGAAGAGAAATAATACGTTGGAAGGTCACATATGATGATGTGTGCAGAGAAAGAAAAAAAAAAGAAGCTTGCCTTCCAAGGATTTTTTTTTCTTTTGGCAGGGGAGTAAATTGAATAAAAATTCCTCATATACGTACATTCGGTTGATGATGATGAGGAATTTGTTTTTTGCTTTGTTTTTGGGGGAGAAGTTATATACATTCCTATGTGCATGTTTATTAGGTTGTGTGTTTGTTCTCTTGGAATTTTTGCTGTGTCCGCTTTTTTTGCTGCTTATTTTGCGGACTGACTCATCTCAAGGCAACTGTGAACCACTTGAAAGCGAAAAGAAAAAGCGAAAAAAAAACTATTCATATCAATGGATTCATGCCATATCTTCGGAATGGAATTTCCTCCAGAACCAGTTCTGCACTGTGGTGTATAAGAACAAGCACATTCAATCAATCAATCAATCAATCTTTTTCTCTGTGGTCCTGCATTATTTATGCCCGGAAATTTGCTGTATCATGGTGGAAAACTTTGCCTTTCAACTTCTCCTATTTACTGTGAAGCCGTATTTTCCGCCAGATGTCATTGCTGATGCATGTTCTTCTGCAAAAAATGTTCATTCGCACATCAAAGTTACCATTTGCTGAATTGCTCTGTGAGTTTTTGCTACCTGCATATATTTATCATCGGTTGTGCTGCTCAGATTTTTTTTTTAATAGCACTGTTACCTTTTCAAAATAAGCTGAGGAGTTGTTCCACAATTTTTTTCAATGAATTGAGCTCATGTATGTCATCAACAGCTTCACGCGTACGTGTTTTTTTTTTCAGATATATCCGCGATTCGTTTAATTTGAAATTGTGATAGAAACAATATCAAATGCTTATACATAATCGTATTTTCTTATATATATCCGGGTAAAAGGAGAAAAGAGTTGTTCGACCTTTCCTTCCATAAAACATTCTCTTATATGCATCTGAGGCTTGAATATATACATGAGTGCGTATTTTTATAGCGATGTTGCTGTTTCGACTTGGCAGTGCATCTTTGTTTGGCTGCCATTTTAGGCTCTTGAGTCAATGCATTGATTTTTTTGTTGAGAGTTTATTATTGTTGAGAAATTCGGACGAATCAGGTGTCGTAGTGTGTGTATTTACTTATGTATAGCTAAGAGTTTCTCAATTCTGATGATGATGATGATGGGGGTGGGGGGTAAGAAAAAGAATTGGCTCATGATTGTATCTCGCGTCAGCATTCTTTTAGCTCTAATAGCTGTTGCTTCATCAACGTGACTTGTTGCAGATTTGATGAGTGAACAGTATTTTACATTTTTACTTATAGCTTGAGGACTGATGGCGGAAAAAGTGCTCTGTATGCTCATTCGGATTTTAGAAGATTTGCATATATATAAATTCGGGGATTTTCTTGAATTGATTTTTTATCGCAGATTTCAGACTATACTGTACACGTGTATTGTCACACAAGAAGAACGAGGTGTTGAGGCGTCTTACAGGCAATAGTTTTGCAATTCATGTGCTTATAAATTCAGCTCAATTTTTCCCTTGGTGATCAGCATTGCACTTCAATGGACAGAGGGATGGTATTGGTGAAGAGAAAAAAAAGCAGATCTTGCATTTATATATATATATATAGATGACTATGTTATGGAAACTCTTGAATGTATATTTGTCTCAAATATTTCTCATTGTCATGCATGCAGAAAAAAAGCCGTTTTGAAATAATTGAATTGCAATGCTGAACATGAAGAAGATAGACAGATGCTATTTTATCCTACAAAAATGTATGGTTTTCTAGCTACTGATGTTTTCTTGCACTTCTTTGTTGGCTGTGATGCACCTGTCCATATGGAAGTTTTTCCTCTTGCTTAACTAATGTTTCAATCTGTTCACATTATTCTATATAGATCTTTCTGCCACAAGTAGTGATACTTTGTGATTGTCCTTGGGCCATGTTTCCTTGGGGGAGTTGAATCTTTTGTCTAATCGATGCCATTTCCTGGTGGACTGCTGAGTAATGAAGATGATGAGGACCATGAAAAACTCGAATTTTTCTTAATCATATTCTAATGAAGAATGAAATTTTTATTTGGAGAACAAAATACCTTACTGTGAAAAACACGTGCCATCTGATTTCAGCTCTGCAACATTCAAACTGTTTCCTTCTTCACGAAGAAATCCAGGCAATCGAGTTATGGTCTCAACGCTTTTATAGTGATGAAGGGAAATAAATAGAAAAAAGTCATCTTTCATAAATTGCATCCTGGACGCAGATCAGTTTATGATCGTTTATGATGCTGCTGAGTTACTTCTCTGTGACAAAAAGTTTTATGATTATGTGTACAGTTCTAAGTGATGGTGGTTTGAAGATATCAAGGAATGTGATTTTAAAATAATACAGTATAAGATACTGTACAATGTTTCAACAAGATGGTTCCTGTGCGGTCATTGACTAATGGATCATTTGAATTAATGAAAGTTTCTGTGAAATACATTGCAGAGCTGAAAAATTCGACATGAAGAACATTGATGACAATATTGTGGTATAGTCTTGTCCGTAAATTGATCCGTTTTCTGGTGTATGATGACAACACACACAAGGGAAAGTTTAGCCAACCAAGTGAAAAACCTCATTTTTATAGTTCTGTACGCTAGAATGATTTATGCCGGTACATGATTGTAGAGTATTGTACAACATCCATTACGATTCTGGACTCGGAACAGAGAAATGCGAAGCGGATGCGCGAAATCTTCTTGGGCAGTGAATGAAATTTTAAGCAAGGTTCATGGAACCGTTAACTTTCTCTTTTCGATCAATGGCTTCACAGAGATTGGCAGATTGTTGTTTTTGTCACTGTTTCGCAGTTTAATCCGTCCATTTGTTCAGGGTCGGCCCTTTCGTTTCAATGGAATGTAGGCAACGTTTTTCCCTCATTCGTATTGTCTCCGTTATCTTGATCTTTTACTGTACGGTAGATCGGCTGCGGCGTTTGTTATGTTATTGCCTGTCGTCTGGATTCAACAGTTACCTGCCCTGGTGTAAAGATATAAATAGCCTTCGGGATTATTCCCATTGCAAAACGTTTAGGTTGTTTGTGACGAGAGTATCGTGTGTTGATCAGCATTGCGTCCCGACATCTCTGGTTTTGAATTCTTTTGCGATTTTCTAATCTCGGTGTTGCCCTCCGACAGAGCTGTAACTTTTTGCATTGAGAACCGCATTTCCGCGAATTCCGGGTAGAGTGTCGGATACCCTGGATTTCGTGTCGTGAGCATTCGCGAACAGATAATGTCGCTGTTGGAAAAATTCTTCGCGAAAGTGGGAGGTGTCAAGTTGCCCGATGCCCCGACAACATCGTTGCCTTCCTCGCGAAGAAATGATAGCCCCGATATCATTGAAATTTCCGAACCTGTGCCGAAATCATTCACGCCGAAGTCGGTCACATTGACCAAGCTTGAGAGGAAACTTCCCCCGCGCTACTTCAATAAGGCTGAGGAGTGAGTAACTGTGTTCATCGCGTGAATTTGATGACCGTAAAGTTACGCGAGATATTAATTCTATTTTGCAGTGCCGCTTTCAAATTCAGAGAGCAAACACTTCGTAGCTCTGCTGAGGAACGTAATCCCGTGTTGCCTAAAAAAATCATGGGTCTCCGAAAAACGAACCGTTTCACGAAACGGAAAATAGGTAAAGATCATTTGTCCGCATCACTAAGAAAACCGCATTTTTTGTATCGAACTTGCGCATTGACAAGAACCTCTCATGAAGACTGCCCTTCACGTAGCAAATGAGCGATCAATTATAACTGAAATCTAGCGCCTAATGCGGACGCGCGCTACTGTACCTTGTAATCGATTCCAACCGAAATACTGTAGTGCATGCAGATTATTTTCCGAGTGCACTTCAAGAGTGTATCTGAACCCGAGGAAAGAGGAGATAAACTTCGTACGAGCCGAATTTCGTAGAATCGGTTGTGGCTGATATTTTTCTCAGTTAATTTCTCTTTTCACCAATTCATCACTGTTAGATGAGACATTAGCATATGATTAATTCTACAGTATCAACAGTTCTCGTATGACGTTTAACTGATTTTCACACAACTCTTATTTTGACAGGTCCGAAGTTGACGTTAACTCCTAGCATCGGGCTGTATTTCCCTGAAACCCGATTAGCATCTTTCATGAAAGTATGTGTTCCAGTGTCAAAAGTGTTCGTGACGACATGATTTTATGATACATTTTTTTATACTTAGAATGCTGCATGCGGACAAGATGTTCTTGTAGTGACAGAAAAATCTACGCTTCGTTACCTTTGCGGGAACTTGGAGGTTCATGTTGTCGGCTGGTATTGGGATTCTACTCCAGTGCCAATGTGGGATCATGAAATAAGAGGATCCATCAGTCGAAATCAATGGCCATCAACGAAGGATTACAAATTTCCAGAGCCGGGAGATTACTTGATGTGTTCCGTTTCTTCCTTGAGTCGCCTGAGGTTCGTAAGATTTCATGCCGCCAGTAGAAAAGTATTAAAAATATATGTAAGGATTAAGCACTTTCATTGATGGACTATAAGAATTATAGCAATCAATCAGTGTCAATGTGACTAGAAATAAGTACATGAAAAGATCATTCATGAATGACGGTTTGTTTTTCAGTTCGTGTCTCTTCCTTTGATTGGATTCCTTTTCATTCTCCGTCTTCAGGAAATATTTCGATATTCGTTTGCGCCGTCCTTTCTCGGGTTTGTGTAAGCAATCTAAATTTTGCAACCAGGTCTCTGAAATTCGTGGATTTGACGTTGAAGAACCAAGGCGGTACGAAATATGGCCGAATTTCTCCGAAATCCTTGTCATACATGCAATCGGAGCTTCAGATGGAATGGAAAAACGTGAAAATACCTAAGTATCACACGGTCCTGAAGACGAGTCAGACGTTGGAAGATCCCGAAACTCTCGAACTCCTCAGCCGTTCAATCGACGTCCCGAAGTTCGCGTGTTCATTTTTGCAGGGCGTGAAACCCCTGGATATGAAGGATTTCAATCAGAAACAAAACAGTGCTACTGCCAACGTTTTCTATTCTCATGGATGCGCTTTGATGAAGGCCCGGAGGCTTCCGGAAGCCCTGAGTACGTTGGAAAATGCCGTGAAGCACAATCCGAAAAATGCGGATTTTTACGTCGCTCGTTCCGTCATGTGAGTCTTCTAGATTTCATTCTCACGAAGTTTAAGTTGCCAGAAGCTCAAAAAAGTAGTTTTAGACAAAAGTAACTAAAGACAGTCCAGAAGCGTGGTTAACGTGTGCTAATTAAGTGACGATAACCATACTTAATGGAATAAATTCCTAGAAAACATTCGAGATCATGCTTCAAATTTATACTCAGTAATTCAGATTTTCAAAGAAAAAATCGTTAAATCGTTCTGATTAACGGAACTTTCTTGTACCAACTTGTCGAATAATGTTTTTCGCCCACAAATCCAAGACCACTCATATTTTTTCGTTTGATTAAAAATTGGGCGGAAAAGTGCGCGTCATATTCGCTTGAATGCCCTATCCAATGTTTATCGTATGTTTTCCACTTTTCCAGACATCAAGAATCCGAGCAGTACACGAAAGCTTTGGAAGATTTGTACAAGGCCATTGAGTTGAATCCCGACCACGAAACCGCGTATAATTTTTTGGGCGTTTTGTATGTGACGTTGGGCAAAAGGTTAGTACGCTTTTTTTTTTTAATGTAGGACTTTATTTTTTAATAAATGCAATGATCTACAGGTTTGCGATGGAAGGAAACACCACTGACGCACTCCTCATCCTTGAAAAGTGCATGAAATACGACCCTGGCAACGAAGAGGCGAAGCGGATGCTTTCAGATCTTCGATCATCCAGAGTAAGAATGAAAAATGACTGATTCTTGAAGATGTGCTTAAAACTTTTCTTTGTTTTTCAGAAGTTGCATGGGAGATCATCGAATGATAGAATCGAAAGGTGGGTTCTTGTAAAGTTTGCGTCTTCAATTTTTTGAAAATGCTCGTTCACTAGTAAAATTGGGTTTTCGCGATTTTTGTAAAATTTTGAAAAACTTGCGAGTAATCGTGAGTTTGAGTAATTGTTCGGCGTTTATGTGATCGGGAAATCTTTGAAATTTCCCAATGCTGCTTTCATTATCATTGAAGAAAGAATTTCCGCTTGACTTTTGTTCATTCAACGAATATTCTAGTGAAAAAAAGAAAGAAGAAAACGTTGAGGAATCCTCGTTAACTAGAAAATATTTTGAGAATAATTGTTCTCAGTTCTCTGGTTAGTTTGTTGGTTGCTGTTGTTGTGCTTGTTATTTTGATCAAGTGTGTTCGATGACTTCAGAAATCCGTCGCCGGTAAGACCGCACTTTTCTCATCCGAAATCGCCGCCACCACGAAAGGAAAATCGTCGTTCGCCGGAAAGACGTCGTAGGTCTTCATCTCGCGAATTTTCTGACAGACCCAGACGTTTGAGAAGTCGGTCTAAATCGCTCACACGCGGTAAATATTCTTCCTCATGTATGTATACACAGTACAGTATATACTTTTTTTTTTTAAAGACAAGTCCTTGAAGTATTTTGATTCTCATTGTTTTTTTATGTGTGTCAAGAAGTATTCTTGTTTTTATTTTGAGTAGTGTGATTGGAATGATGAAATTTTCAGTTCCTGATCGCGAAGACGAGTTGGAGATCTTGCATCAGCGGCGGAGGCTGCCGCCGCCGCCACCGAGAATTTCATATCCGCCGCCCGTTTTCCCGTCGTTTCATCTTCCCGGATATCCGCCACTACCGATGTTCTTGCCTCCTCCTCCCGTGGCAGATGTAGAATGGGAAAGGAAAACCAACGATTTTCTAGCAGCTGCCAAGTCCAGATCCTCCCGTAGGTCGAGGTCACCTGTCGTGAGAGTCGATCGGAAGCGGAGTAGAAGTCGGAGTCACGAGCATTCTCGTCAAACCAGACGTCGTCGCAGGTTGGCCTTTATATTCTTTTGATTTATGTCGGCATTTGTATAGGAACTGGGGCACCGAGATGCGGACGTAATTGGGGCCTGGACTTGGTTACAAATTTTAACCATAGACTGTAACAGGAAGCGTTTTAATTGGTTTTCCTGTTGATGAAAAAAATTTAGAAAAAGTCTCCAAAAGATCTGAAAAATTTTTCTCAACTTCAAGGTACAGGAATAACTGTGCAGAAAAAACCATGAGTATTCTGATATTTTGGCCTCGAAAGGATCGCAGAACAAACACGAGTCTTCTTTTAATGTGCAGATATGTAGGAAAAAGCACTGAAAAAAATTAGCCTATTCTGGATTATGGATTAGATAACATTTATAATGAAATTTACTTTTATTTTTCGATTATGTATAGCTCAGCAATTTCTTAAGAAATATCAAAATTTTAAAGAAAATGTTATCCCATTTTTTAAATATTTTGGTGAAGTGTACGTACCGTATTTCGACTGCTCGAGACATTGTCCAGATGTCGGGGCATGTTTTGAGTTTCAATTTTCCTTGATTCAAATCGTATATATGTCGGGGCGTCACTGCACTTTCATTCAAATTGGCCTGGGGGTCGGGATAGTGATGATTCAGCAATTGGATAATTTTCATTGATACCGAAAGGACTGTCTTGTTCATGTATTTCATAAAGCAAGCTCTGATGATGAAATTTCAAAAATTCGAAACTTATTCAAGACCATAATCAATTATTGGGATCGATATTAGAAGATTTCAAGCCACAATTTTCTCGTGCTGACGGGGAAGATACTATTTTTTCTCCGATCATGTTTCTAGATTTCGGAATAGTCACTGATTTCATGTAAAATGTTTCTTTTTTCTAGTCTTTCTCGTTCGCGGGATCGAATTCACCGTCGGCGATCACGTTCTAGGAGCCGGGATCGACCATCTGTCCATGATAGAGTGGGTTCCCGGGACAGACGAGGTGACCTGAGAGATGTTCTTCGCGACCGACGCCAGGAAACTGACAAGTCTCCGAAGGATGATTCAAAGCGGGCCAAATCTCGCGAGATTTCAAAAGGTGCCAACGAAAGCGGTGGACAACAATCGGGAGAGCTCTTCAGTCGCCGCTCACCCGACGCTGCGAAGAAACAGTCTGAGGAACGCGGTGTTTCTTTGGTTATCCGAAGGGAATTTGGCGACAAGTCGAACCGAGCTATTCAAGAAGTTGTTTCTGCGGAAGTGCCGCGTGTCGAGAGACCGGAGAAAGTGCTGGAACCGGTTTATTACCCGGAAATGAGGAAGAACAAGTCGGATTCTCGCAGTGCTCCTGCCAGAAGATTCATAGAGCGTCCTGAAGAAATCGAAGTGCTTGATGAGCGAAATGTCCCTGCGACGAAAGATCGTCCGGAGGAAATCCAAGTTATTGATGTAGAACCATTGTCTGTCGTGAGAAGAAAGAATTTGTGTTTGGAGACTGATCAAGAACTGAAGAAAATGTGGGAACATTGGATCAGGGTCTGCAATGACAGGAGGAAGACTTTCGGCACCAAGTTCCTTCTCTGGTTTAAGGTGAATGATGAAGTTTAAGGTCGAAGTCCTTGTGAAACAAAAATACCGAGCTTCTCAAAATACAGTAGAGCTCCGAGATGTGGACGTAAATTGTGGTTGGACCTTGTCCCTGAATCGAAATATCCGCATGTCGGATCACATTCTCCCTTAGGCTTCAAACTGAATATATTTAATTCATTTTCCTATTGATCAAAAATTCGGAGAAATTCCCTTATAAAAAGATGAAAATATTTTTCTCGACTTCAAAATGGACGAAAGAAAACCACGCATAATCTGAAATTTTGGCCTGAAAATGGGACGAAAAAAGCGAAGTATGAGCTGAATTCTTGCTTATGCTCTGCACAGACTTGGCAAAAAGTCTTGGATTACGAAGTACAAAATTGACCGATTTCGGATTATCAATTAGAGAAAATGTAGCATGAGCTTAAATTTGCACTCCGTTCATGTAGTGTTACCTGGAAAGTTAACTTGATTTCGAGATGAAAGAATTATTATTTTTTTCAGAAATGGGTAAAAACGAGTGTTGACTTATCTGTATTTTATATTTATTTATACAGGATTGTGTAAGGTTCGACAAGGATTATGAGAATATGGGAGCAAAGTTCGCATTCCCGTTCTTCTGCGTGGGGGCGGTTGAATACTTCGTCCAACTCTACGAAGACCACAGTTTGGACTGGCTCATTGAACGCGACTTTGTCAAGAGGTACTACAAAACGCGCGAAAACCCGGATTTGAAGGTATGTCTTCTCAATACTGTTCCTCATGTTCTGTATAAAACTGCGATTACTTCCTTGTGATTCGGATCACGTGCATTCCTGAACAATAATAATATTCGGCGAGGGTCAATGAGGTGTCCGTGCTTTTTCCCGCAGGCGTATGTGAAAGATATTTATTTGAAAGTCATCATGGCGCTGCGTATTGGAGACGGGGTGACGTCCGTTCTTAGCAGTCGTCGTGACTCGAATGAGTCGAAGAGAACGATTGAATCCTCCTCGGGAACGAGTAAAAATCCTGAGGAATTGAAGCGAAGGATCGAAGATTTAAAGAAATCTATTGAGTCATCCTCGCAAAAGCATCTTGGACCAAGCGCAGCAAAGTCCCTCGACGAAGCGAAACGGAAAGTTCAGTCCTTGATTAAATCAATGCATTCTTCTCCGCAATTGAAGGCGGCCGAAAATCAGGAGGATTTGAAACGCAGAATGAATGCATTGCAGCAAACGATCAATTCTCTCTCCGCAAAGCGTCCTGAGCCTTCGAAATCGAATTCATCTAAAAATGCTGAGGAAACGAAGCAAAAATCGGCTCCAGGTGGTTCCCCCTGGCAGAAGAACCGAGATGATTTGAAAAGAAAGGGAGATGATGAACGGAAATCCGTCGATTCCTCGAAACAGCGCGCTGAAGATGCAGGGAAAGCAGTTAAAAAGCCTAGGGTAGAAGTTTCGAAGAAAGCTGGTCTCATTCCCCTGCCGAAGGAAAAATCGCCCGAAGTTGTGGACCTGTGCGACGCAATGTCTCCAGTTTCTGAAGAAACTGTCTCTGAGATTCCTAAACCTCCGAAACGCATTCAACTCGATGGTAGGTTTCGATTTAATTTAGAAATTTGATTTGTTCATCGGAATCTTCGATTAAATGTGATTACCTTTTTGAATGTTTGACCCGCGAGTTTTCATTGTTATACTGTAGTTTCCTAATAAATAGCTTGTTCTTATCAGTGTGAGAAACGTTTTTGACAATTGTTCTTCGGCGTTGAGTTGATGAAGCCCAACCGAGATCAACTTTTGAATAATCATTGATCGCACTAATAATTATGCCCATCACTTATGTTATTAAAAAACGTTTCGGATCGACATTATCCGCTTTTCGCGTTATTTTTTTTTGTTTTGAACAAGATTTCTTCCATCTTACAGAATTTAGAAATCGCATAAATCTCTTGCAGCAGTATTTTTCGTCATCTGTATGCTGTAATACATGTACACTAATTACTTGAGTACCCCTAGCCTTAGATCAAGATACGCGTCCAAATTTTTCGTTCAAAATTTTGATAGAAACATGTTCCCTTAGGAAGACACCCCATTTTTAGAAATTAAAAAAATGAAATGCGTCAGAATTTATAGTTTGGCTTGGATTGAATTTACATCGTGCGTTGATTTTTCCATTTTTAAATTGTATGTTGCAATTGGTTCAATATCCTGTTTTTTTAATCAAGTATGAAGCGCGCCAAAGCTTGTAAAAATGTTACACCTGCCTATGACGTGCACGCTCTTTCTTCTCTCGTATTTTTGATGTTCGGTACTTGAGTAAATACTTCAAATTTCCTCGTATTTTTCTCGAGCTGAATTCAATGCGTCTAGGTGTCCTTGGAAATTAAATGGCTTTTTTCATCCTGAATCAGCAAGGATTCAAAATGATTTTCACGCTATATTGCGGGTGTCTTCGACTGCTTTGAGCAGATTTTTTATTTATTTATTTTTTTGTACTTGTTATAGAAATTATGGGAATATTCTTCGCAGAATTTCATCACCCCTGCATTTATTGGTTTTCAAAATCTGTATGAAGTCGGAAGTCTGGTTTCATGATTCCAGTTATTCGCAGACACGAAATACTGTAATCTCATTTCCGCAAATTTTGTGTAAAATATTCATAAAATCCCGGAGATTCTTCTGTGTTACTTGCATTATTCACTGGCATTCTCAAAATGAAATTCACAGGCAGCGTGGTTCCCGGAGAAGAAGTGTTTGAGCTGGATGGCGGCGTGTTTTCTCGCGATGACCTGCTTTGGCCGCCACAAGATGTCCCAGTTAGGCCGCCATTGAGCCAAGACCTGATGAACGCTTGCGCCACCTACGGGAACTACATGAAATCCTACTGCGTGCCGTTGAATGATTTCACCAAATACAAACTGCTGCGTTCGCCCTGGGTAGATGAAAAGTGGTTTGGAGGCCCATCTGCCAAAGGCGCCGAAGAGCTCCTCATTGAAGCCATCAAAGCGGCGGAGAAGACGAAAAAGGAGGAGGAGGTGAAACAAGCTCCGAAGGTTGAAAAGGCGATTAAACGTACGACTCTGAGTGCAAACGCTATTGTGAAGAAGCAGCCCGTGTCTTATATAAATAAGTCAGCCGAGGAAACTGAGAAGGGGAAACCTACTCCAAAGAAGCTTTCTCCGCTACCCGTAGACCCGAAGTTGAAATCACTCCTAGAGCAAATCAAGACCGTGTCTGCTACTCTTGGTGGTCTGGTTAAAAACAAACAAATTCAGAAGAACAGCTCCACAGAAAATTCCTCTGAAACGCAGGAGAAGCAACCAAAAGAGACTAAAGAAAGCAAAGAGGCAGAACCCGAAGCAGTCAAGACTACTGCAGAAAAGCCTGATGAGGACGAAGTCATGCTCTTGGAAACAAGCTTTAGCAGTGAACCCGATTTCTGTGTCGTTGATGAAGCGCATCCTGATCAAGAAAACGACTCGCTTGAAGAACCCTTGGAAAAGGCCGACGAGGAAGAACCCGCGAAAAAGCCCGAGGAAGAAACGTCTAGTGCCGAAATTGACTTTTGCGTGATTGACGAAGCGAAACCCGATGAGGAAGAAAAAAATAAGGCTGAAGAGCTGTCAAAAAAGTCTGATGACAATCAAACGGTTGCGAGTGGCGAAATGGACTTCTGTGTGATCGACGAAGCAAAACCCGATCAAGAAGAAGAAAAAACGGAAAATTCCGCAGAAAATCAACCTATTCAAGGGAAAAAAGTGGCTGAAGAACCTGCCAAAAAGCAGGAGGAAGCGAGTGTGACTGCTGAGATAGACTTCAGCGTGATTGATGAAGCTCCGAATTCTGTGGAAGCCGTACGTGAAGATCCGGTTGAAGACTGTTCCGAAGTCGTGGAATCCATCGGAAATGAACCCGAACATTCTGATTCAATGTCTCCAGTCAAATCGATTGCAAGTGGTGAGATTCTGTCTGGTGACGGCTTGAGCCCAGCTGTTCCCAAAAATGATGCTGAACCTTCTGACGTGAACTTGTCTAGTGTCGACGCAGAAACTGGGGCAAATAATCCTCCAGTTTCAACGACTGCTCCTGTAAATATTGCTTCTGTTACTCCGAATATCCTAACTTGTGAAAGCGGCGTGAGTGAGGAAATATCTTGCGAAAAGTTGAGTGAAATCGAGGGAGAAAAACAAGGCACTGGTTTCGTCGGTGGCTCGGAAGAAAAAGTCGCTGAAATGATGGAGAAAATGCTGATTGGGACTCAAGATGAGGACATGCCAGAACCTGTGAATCCATCGGTTCCTGTTGAAGAAGCAAAGGAAACTCCGTAAAAGAATATCCCTTTTTCTTCTTCGGTGTTCATTTTTTCCGTGTATCAAGTGAGTTCTTGAAATTTTATTTTGCAACATACCATTGCTTGAATGCTGTTTTGGCATGTTGCTGACTGCACAGGATTTGCTGAAGAGCCGTTGCTGAATTTGGAGTTGCTGATGCCTTTACGGAAGGAATTTTTTCTTGTTCGAATGTCCGTGAATTGTGTGAATTATTATTCTATGAATGTTTAGCGGGATGCCTTGGTTGAGTTTTTGTGGCGAATACGATTTCGGTGCGTGAAAATAAAGCTTCATTTGCATGTAAATTATCGTTGACTCTATCTTTTTGGAAATTATATGTTCCCATTTTGAGAGTGTTTTTGCAGGGTATGGAGGCAGAATTGGCGACCCCTGTGAAGGACTCACTTGGTGAGCATGTTAATTCAAAATGATTTTGAAGATCATTCATGGACCGTATAATCGTCCGGGTTGTTGACATTTTTTCTTTGTAGGGATTTTCCTGATCAATTTAATCTGCAGAGCATACATTCAGTGATGTTGTCCCCTCTTTTCTGTTGCAGAAATATTCAAGTGTGGCGAAAATGGGGTGATCTGGGTTTCTGTTTCTCGCGCCGATTCGCGATGGAAATAAATTTTCGGAGTGGAGATTAAATTTGTTGAGGAATTAATCATGGCATCCAGACAGACTTTGCCTTATCGAATGAATCCTGATGAGATTCAAAAACTCATCAGTGCAGAAAAGGCTCAGCGACGGAAACGCCGCTTAATCGAGGTTAGCCGGCTTTTTTCTGTCACCTAAAATTGCCCTTGAGATATTTAAATTCAGTGTCTCTGGACTTTTATGAACAACGTGTTTTTGATTCACGCTTGGACTGGTAAATTAACCGAAGTAAAAGCAGAAGTGAGAAGTAAAACTTATACCGATTGAATTCTGAAGCAAGTTTAATGTCATCATATTCGGGCGACATCTATTAACAACCAAATTGCTGATCCAGGGCTTATTCGAAGGAATTCAGGCGGATTTTCATGCTTTTTTTTCTTTTATAAAGACGAGAAATCAAGCTCGTTTGATGGCATCTGAAATCCGTCGAAAGGCAGATCGTGCAGTCCATCATCATTGCGTTGAAATTGAAGATCAGTTTCGCGACGAATGGAGACGAAAACATGACGCAGAGATCCAAAGACTGCAGAGGATCTACGACGAACGAATGGCAAATCTCGGATCAGCACACGCCGCTGCCAAAGCAGAAGTGAGCCAATTTTATTTCTTCCCTATTTTTTGCCAGAAGGAAACCCCGTTTTATCGTTTATTGAATAATGTTCTGGTCCCTACTCTTGTCCCTTTCGTTTCAGATTCATCAAGTAAATAATACAAAGTGACGTCTGTTATGAAATCTCACGATAAACCGCTAATTTCAGTGTTCGATTCATCTTCAACATTTTGGATATTTTCATTTTTGTGAAGCCCGTCTACGAGGCGTACTCATTTTATCTCTCTCTTTTCAATTAATTCGGTGTTTTTTTTTTTTTAGAATTTGTCTGAATACTTAAGTGATCGGCCTCTTGAATCTCGCAGTTTTTTTCACCTGGAAATATTTCTCACATGAAGAATTGTTTTCCAGTTTAATCTTGAAATTGTAAATGATTTTTAGCCCGATCCGTGGATTGAAGACGAAGAGCTGAGGAGAGTTAACGAAACCAAAAGTCGACAAAGAGGAGCAGTTGCTAGTCAAGCCTTGAAGGAAATTGAAATCAATCGGGTTTGGCTGGCAAATAGGGCAGTCAAACGTCGGCACGAAACTCGTTCAGAAGAAGACAAGAGAGCTAGAAAACTCGTCGTGGAAGCCCGTAGGAAAAGCCGCGAACGTCTCGTGCAGGAAGATATTCGTGAGTTTATTTGGAAACTTTTGAAATATTTAAATTTGAATTTATTTGTATGGTGTGTCCGAGAATTCTCTGGATGTTTTAAACATCGGTGTAGTGTGTATGTGTGAAATGTTTTTTGCAGAAGTGCATATAAAACGACAATAATCGTGAAATACAGTCCATGAAAAGAATTTCCTGAATCAGGGAAATTGTAAAATAACCGTTCTGAATTTCATGATACGTCAAGGCAAGAAAGAACATGAGTTTACCCTTGTTTTCTCATTTTCCTCAATTTTTGAAAGATGGCAATTCTCGAAATTTGATCAATTTTGGGCGAAAAAATTTCGTTATGTGAGTCACTTTTTCCTCAATGAAAATATATAGTTTTTACCTGGTCGCAAACTCGCAATAGCTTCGTTGTATTGAGATTTAATAGTGTGTCGTAAAATATCAGTTTTCCCCAGCCCGGTGGGAAATTTTCTGCAGCATAAAAGTAGCAATGAAGTCTGTTCTCGTTATCTGAAATTTTCAGAAGATAATCGCCGTTGAAATTGTCTGATAGAAACATAAAAGTAGGCTTTTGTTCTAATAACACTTCAGACAAATTTTCACTTACTGAAATCAATTATTTTCATTTTTAATTTGGTGAAACCTTTCTTCAAGCCCATTTTTCTAATCTTTTGAAGACATTCCATATCTGGCTCATTATTTCAATATTTAAATTTTTGCGAATAAAGCATAAATGTTTCAAGTACCTGTCATAAAGTCTTTCAATGAAAGCTTGTCGAGTCTGCAAAAATTGTACGAAACTTTTGCTGGTCCGCAGTAAATTTTTTGGGAATTTGCCGGTCCGCGAAAATTTTTATTTAACTTCGCTGGTCTGCGGGCCCAAAAAGGTTGAGGAATACTGTTGATGGTTTTATTTTTGAATAGCGTTGCCGCCACCGTCGCCGCCGATTGTTGAGCGAGTCTGGGCCTGTCCCGAATGGCCGCCTAACAAGGCCCGCCGAGATTTACTGTCGCAACCGATCCGGCTGGTTCCTCCGCGCAACGAAATCGACCCGGTGGAAGTTGCAAAGGCAGAAAATGCTGCCGAATCCGAAAGAATTCTGCGCGAACACGTTCAGGAGTTGCGACGGACCGAAGCCGCAAATGTGCGCTATCAGAAAGCGCTGGAACAAGTGCGACTCGCTGAAGATTACAAGCGGCTCATGAACACGCTCAAGTCGTTGCATCGTGAGAAGATCCGGCTGAATCAGGCGGAGTTGGACAGAAAAGCCTCCGCTGCTGTTGCTTATGAAGAACTCGATGAGACTGAAGAAGCAGGGATAATGGAAACGGAAAAAGGGAGCGAAAGAATGGACGAGGAAAGACTTGCTGATGAAAAAACGAAGATGAAATCCCTCGATTTCGACGATTTGAATCGTCGCTTTGAACGACTGCGCAGTTCTTCTTTGAAGTGTCCATCTCCGGAAGAAGTATTTCTCCCGAAAGAACCCGAAGAGAATAAGAAACCTGAGGAGAGAGAACATCTCATTGAATCGGATCTCGATTTGGTTCCACAGCGAGAAAGTGACGGAACCAGTGTATCTTCTATGAAAGGTAAAATTTTATTCCCTTCAACCTGTTTTTTGTCAAATGCCGGGTAGGTGTCGCCTGAATCGCTGTTGTCCTGTTTTCGTTGGCGCAGGATGTATTTTTGGTCAAGGACGTGAAGGACGCACTTTCACAATCCGTAGTGTAAATACAGTAGTAGGAAATACGAGAAGGGCCCAACGATTTTTATTTTAGTCCGATTTGAAATATGCGGGAATTTTCAATTTTAATGCAAATCAGCTGATATTTTTGCTCACTTCGCTCGATTTTTCGATTTGAGAATTCGGCAGCATTGTTCATTAACCGAACAGTAACCTAAAATCCAAGTTATCCTGACCCTAAAAGCCGAAACGTAGCTCAGTAGAACCTGACAAGAGTATCTTAATTCGGGCGACATCTGTGTGACGTTAGGAAATAATCGTAGCATAATGTACTGTACTCCCGGAAATCAACGAACGAAAAAATATGCCGCAGTGAATCCACGACATTTTTGGAAAGTGTGCGTTTACGTGTGAGGCAATTTGCTGATAAATTCTTGCATTTTTCCAGAATCGTCAAAAACTTCGAAATCTTCAGAGTCATCATCCACGCCCGTGCAAAGGAGAAAATCCGTCGGAACTCGGTTCACGTGTTCCACGCCGAAAGACGATCGTTTCCGAGTCGCGGAAATCATCACCGGGGACAAGCTCAACAAATACATCACTAGAGCTTTGGATCAATTGAACATCAGCCAATTGACCTCCTCTCCTTCTTCCTCTTCTACTCCTTCGTCATCGTCAACAACGACGACGACTGTGGAGAAACGCGGTGTTGAACCGGTGATATTGCGGAAGCGAGGCACAAAGCGTCGCGAAGCGGAAAGAGAAGCCGCCTTGCGTCGTTTGCTGAGATCCACTGGTGGGAAACTGAGTGTTCAAGAAGCTGCTTGGTTTGCTTCCAGGATTTGTCAGAAATTCCGTGTGCCGGCGAAGAAATCTTCTTCTCTTTCTTCTTCTTCCCCTTCTTCTTCGACGACGACGACGTCGAAAGGCTTGTTGAAGACTCAACCTTTTCCTTCGCCACCGCCATCATCGTCTCGCGACGAGGTTCTACGCGAAATCGGCGTTTTGTTGGACGAACTCGGAGGACTTTTGGACGTGAAGACCAGGGAATTGCTGACGACGATTTCTTCGAGTGACGACTCTGACTTGTCGACGTTTGTGTCGGAAGATCTGCTGTCGAAAGTGTTGGAAGACTTTACGCGCGCTGCGAGAGACGCAGCGTTGGCCAAGGAGCAAAACGAGGCGACGATGAAAGAACTTGTTGGTGAAACAGCGTCTTTCGGGATTGAAGAACCCACTGGGCTGGTTTTGAAGGAGCTGGTGGGTGAGACTGTTGAGAATTCTGGTTCGTCTGGGCGCGAAGATGGTGAAATGCGGGAGTTGACGGGACGGACGGCGTCTTCCTCATCATCATCTTCGTCGTCATCGTCGTTGATGTTGGTGCAACTGGTTGGTGAGACGGTGTCTGAAGTGTCGGAGGCGACGAAGATCACGTCGACACCGAAAGTGACCAAGAGTGGGACTTTGAAACGAAGCAAGGAGTCGTCGGAGAGTGGATTTGGTCCTAGGGCGGCTGTGAGAGCGATTCCTTTCGACACTAGTGTGTCGACCATTGCTACCAAAAGTGGATCCGGTTCTTCTCCTTCGCCGTGAAAAACAAAGATTAAGGAGAGAAGTGGGGATTTTTATTTTTCAATATTTTATGTTCTTGGTTGTAATGTTTATCCGGTGTGTGATTTTTAAATTTTACTATTGATCATTTTCTGCGCTGATATACCAATGATGATCTCTCGGATCAGCGTCCTGGGAATTTATACCAACTGAAAATTCTATTGGGCATGTTTTTGTTGTGCCTGCATCCGGGATTGGTTTGACAAGACGTTTATGATAATGTCCATCAAAAATGATACATTGCAGAATTATTAGCGTTTGTAATAGGATGACAAAGGCAGAGTTTATGTTGATTGACTTTTGTGTTGAATGTTCTGGAGCTACAAGTATTATGCTGTTTAATCTTTGTGACGTAAAAAAATGACTTGAGTGGGAGTATTAGCAGAAATTCGAAATATATTTTACAGGCACAGAGTCATTTCTACAGATGGAACAGTGTATTTTTGTAGTGTCTGTTTTTACATAAGTACTGTACCCATCATTTTTTTCATAATTGAGTGGAAAAAAGGAGGGTGCACATTATGAGAAAGCATAGAAACTTGAGAAATTTATGTGTTTACTCGATTCTAATGAAGAAAAATGTACCCATTTTAGCAAACCATGTTTAAAAGTGTAAACAATTGGAATGACATTGAATTCAAAGTCAAATTATGATGTGTTTTCTTTCTTGAAAAGAACTGAAATTTTTCATTGCTTAATTTAATAAATTGTTCCACATTTTATGAAAGGACATACAGAGAGACAAAGACATACAGTACTTCAGTGGTTGGCTGTAAATATCCTCAAGGCTTATTTGATGACTAAAAACATTACAGTACCTTTCGGGGGATGAAACATATGGTACCCTAGTCATGGTAAGCCCTTTAGAAATGCAAGGGTTGTCTTTTCTTAGTCCCTTTGATTTCTAGAAATTTCAGAGCTCTTGTTTCAAGCAGATATGGAAAAGAGTAGAATCTTATGGCAGTACATTTTTAGTTCATAACAACGATTGATTTTCAAGATTTTTGCATCATAACTTTCAATGTTGAGTCTCTTATTTGAGTCTAGAATTTATGTTTTATTTTTCAAGTTCCTTTTGGATTTGTTGTTTCAAGATTCCACTACAGTTTTTAGTTTCCTTTCTGCTAACACATTTCTTCAATCACCATTTCCAAAACAAATGCCCAAGGTAAACTTTTTAAGAGCTTACAGCCTTGGTCAATTTATTTTCTATGGTTAGGGAAGCAAGAAGTGGTGCCTTTGATTGTTCAATTTTTATGGAATATTTAAAAGGGCCAGAGCATTTTAGAAAATTATACCTTATTTTAATAGTTCAAGTTTGATTACTTTTCATTGGAAATGGGCTCAATGCAGTAATTATGTTAAAATCTAACCATTTTGATGTGATTTAGTTGCAAAAAGGATTTCAAAAATTATTACTTGAACAAAACCAGTTGAAATTGGCCACAAGGACCTTCAACACATCTTAAATAATTAGCCTTGTGTTATATCCTAGAGGGGATATTTGTAGTGTAAGCTCTGCGTGGTAGGAATTTTCATATATTTCTGTGTTCAACAACTTCCAAAAATAGTCTCTTGTTTCGTGGGTTCATTCGCTGGCGCGTGTCTGAATGCTTTGTGCTCATGTGATTAACGTAAGCTATTATGGTTGGCGTGGTAATGTTCCATCTGGTTGAATCCATGGTCAAAAGTCTGTCGTTTACCTTTTTTTTTTTTCAAACACAACCAGCCTTTTGTGTTTTTTATGATTATCTTCATGTCTTGACAAAATAGTTCGGAATAATTCATGACGAGAGAATGGACTCCAGTTGTTTTAGAACCTTGAAATCATTTTTATTCCTCGAGTATTGTAATTTCTGCTCACATATGATATTTTTCGCAATTTTTGAAATCAGCTCCCAGGCCTTGCAGAAGACGATGCTTGAGTTTGTTGCAGTCAATCTGTGTACTAATAAAAGTGACATTCTGTGGTTCATTTGAATTTTTACATGCACAGTATGATCAGATTAGAAGCCTTTAAACTGTTGCAAATTATTATTTTTTGAAAGGGGTTTTATTTGCAAGTATTTTGTTGAATTTGTGTTCATTGTTACAAATGTTGGAAGATGGTTAATATGTGTCGTCAAGCACTGATGTATGTTTTTCACATTTCCATTTGTGCGAGTTTTAGATGCAACACTGTGCTGATTTTTGGCATTTTGAATATATTTTATGACAATATATCCTCTTGCTTCTGTTTATTTGTCATTGAAACTAATATGTGAATATTATTTTATAATTTTTGTTGACTTCGAAAGCTGTAGAGATGAATCATTGTAACATGCACACTGGAGTAAGATTTGCAGAATTGTTTACGAGGCAACTAGAGAAAAGTCGAACTTTGCATTAAACATGTATCTTAATTTTTCCGCATTTCAGTGACCAAAGATCGCAAATTTAAGAATTTTCTGAGGTATTCAGAAAGTTCATTATTTGAGTCAGAAAGAAATGCTTAATTCAATTCCACCATGAAGGATAGAAAAACTATCAAATTGTAATTATATTCAAAGCTTAATTCAGGTTTTTATTTTACAGCTTTTCAAAGAATTCTTTGATGAGCATCCCAAATTTCTTACAAAGTGACAGAATTAGTGTATGACACGTGTTCAAGAATTTTCCCAAAAGCTTTTTATTTAATGTGACTCACTTCTCATTTTTGAAAGTACTGTATTGTATTTAATATTTTATTTATTGATATACAGTACATCACTGCTAACAAAGGTTTGATGTGTCTGAAAATCAATAATGAAATACAGTAATAACCTCCTCAGCTCCACTCAAGTTTGTGCCAGAGATTAAAAAAAATCTGTGAAGTTTGTCTTTGAATCACTGAGTTAAATTCATGTTAACACATCCTGTTGAAACAAAAATATATATTTTACTGTAATTTTGTGAACTGCTGCGCTATTTTGGATTCCATGCACCGTATGAACATGCCTGTAATATGTGGACTGTGTATTGATTCATAAATTTGAATTAAGATCCCGGTACTGCATTGTACAGCATTCCGCTGAGTAATAAATACCTTCCATGTTTGCTTAGGTTTTTTCATGAATCCTTTAATTTAGGCATCTATCTGTGGGTTCTAACTTGTATTATTATTTCCATTAATTCTAAGCTGATCATGAAAGTTCATCTCCAATTCTCCAGCAGTCCAGCGCACATTTTTCATGAATGATTGTGCATGCTGCCGGACTATGGAGTGCAAAAAATATAGAACACATATGCACAGTGATGTATGCTGTACATGCATATACTGTATGTATAATGTATGTACTGTACTACTTGTTCAAAATGGGTGCCTTTGAATTAAATATGACGCATCTTCCATTCAATCATCAGCAGGAAGAAGTTCATGCTTCTGAAATTCGACACGAATTACTCTGCTGGTCGTCTAATCCTTCTGTACCGGATATATGCCAGTACTGCTGCTGGTCTTGAATGAGAAGGGTACAGTGCCATAATTTCTGGTTGATTCGCTCAGTGGAAACTGGAGACCCCAAGGGTGCCACATTTTAAAAAGCGGGTGGGCTTGATGGACTGCACCTGGGTATGAATCAACCCCGAATGCTCAGCGGAATATACACCCACTCCCCCACCTCCTGAATGAACATGCGTCAGCAAAGCGTTGGGCGGAGCCAAAAGGAACGACTTCGCACTGGCGCAGTTGGCCATTTTATCGCCTCCGCAGCGCTTTAACAACGCACGACAACGCCGATCCCTGGCATTTTCTAGGTGCGAGTTCTCTGGCTGAGACCCCGCATGACTTTAAATTTGAGTACGACTCAGAATATCGAGATCTTTCAAGGGAATTTTATCAGTCGACATTTTTTGAACTACTGTATCATAGTATGAATGAAGAATTTTTTTTTTTAGCAGAACTGAAGTTTTGGTTATTCTCAGATAAGGAGAGCGCTGCTTGAGTTTAAGCTGCAGTGCAGTTCGTGAGGGAGTGCTTGGCGTATTCCTGGTTGAGCACAAAAATGTAATACTGTAACTTATTCGAGCACGAAGATTTTCACGGAACTGGGGTGTTCCATCGCGGAAGACCCATGCGAAAGGAAGGTGGAAGATTTTCGTGCCGACTTTTTCAAGGTTTTCTGGTTGCTTTATGGTTCTCGTGATAGTTGATTCGATTACGTCGGTTTGGATTCTCGTGTGAGCGCCTTTTATTGTGTTTCGCAAAGAACGCAAGGTAATTACATTACGATCGTTATTGTGCTCCGGGGAAGATTTCGGAAAAACGATGTTTCGCATGTGGATTCCTTGATTTTTCGGGGGTGTGTCAATTATCTCGGTTTTCTTATTCCCGAAGCTTTGTACTGTATTGATATTTTATTGGGGTTTTCTAGAATATACGTCGGTTGCTTAGGCATGAGTATTGTGAGTATCGCTCTTGTGCTCGATCAGAATGGAGGTACAGTATTGTGTGATCAAGGCAAGGTTTTTGTCGGAAACCACGAATTTCGCGAAGGTTTTCTCAGCCATTTATTATGATTGTACGTACAGTACTGTAAATACAGGATGAGGCACGAGTTTCAGTCCTCTTCAGCAGTATACTGTATATAACCGAGGACTTCATGAGTCAAGAGAACGATGAGCTTCCTGTAAATTCAGCATTTTTCCGAATGATAAGTTTTTTGCGCACGGCGGAGCTGTCCAGATGGTGAGTTCTTTTTATTTTTCTCTGTATTGCAAAAAAATGTGTCACCTGTGGATTCTAAAATTTCGCAAAGGAGGAAATGCCGCACGAAAAGAAACGATGCGCTAATGAATAATTCATTCCTGTACATGTATATTCGTCGATGAAAGTTATTTAGAGTTTAAAATACTCTCATCATGATGATATAATATCCGTATGCATGAATCAATAAATAAATGCAGAAAAATAATGATTGATTCATGCTTTTATGCTTGGGTACATTGCGTGTGCTGTACAGTAT